AATGCACAAAGGCAATAAGAGAAGACAGACCTCAGTATCGGAAAACGTTTAACGATAAATTTGTCTCCAATGAGAAAAGCTTATTCCGTCGTACAGCCTTTCTTCGACAAGCAAAAATGGGAATTTCTCAGGAGTGGACCTGAGGGCTCGCTTGGTGCAACAGAAACTTCAGCATTTAAACAAGGACACTTCTCTCGATCCGTATATGGTCCATTGTGCTACACTGTGGGAAACAGCTTTAATCTTAATAACACCGCTCTCACACTCGCCAAGCCAAAGAACGCTACCAAAACATTGGAGATTATCTCAAATCATACCAATTTTCAAAGGAGGTTGACACAGAGAACTTCAAGTTACCAGCCGGCAATGCTTCTCTCAATACCCTGAAAAATTGTAGTCCCTGATACGCGGCGGTTCACGTAACTACTTACTATCCATAAACTTCTTTTCATACTAACAGCACAGTTGCAGAAAGGGTTACTCATCTATAGCCAACTTGCCGACTGTAGCGGTAAATAAATTCCTAAAATAAATAGCCCTGTAAGTTTTCGACATTGGATGCTGACCACATGTTTTAGTGGACTCATCTAGCTGAAGGCGCTCGGTCATGCATCCGCACCAGATCACGTGTGGTAACGCTGTGCTCAACATCTACCGCAATCGCTAGCCAGATTAGATCAGAGAATTCTGATATATTGGTTATCGCCAAATACACTCTTCCGATCTCCTCGACTCTGTCTTTTGATTTCTCTCGGTGGGTACAAATTATATTAGGTGTTGCTGGTAAAAGCGTTGTCAAACACTGAATACCTGTGTCATCTTCATGACCAACCCTGATCTCAAGGGAAAGGTTGATGTTCTATCTTTTGACCTCTTAAAGGCTTTAAATAAGGTCATTTATATATGTCATATCAATAAACTCGAACGGATGGGAATCAAATTACCATTGGTTGATTGACATACTTCATATTCAAGTAATCAGCTTTTTAATGTCAGGGTTTTCACTTTCTCGCCGTGGAATGTCGTAGTTGGGTGTCCCATGTTTCAGCACGTGGACCTCTTCTATTCTTAGCTTGTATAAACAATATCTCAGAGCAAGTATAGTCAGTTATTGCTTTTCACTGATTATGTAAAACTCTGGAGAGAAGTTTCCAACCACGAGGATAAACTGGCACTTCCACAGAATCTGACCCAACTTAAAAGCTGTGCAGACGACAACAGACTTACCTTTATCGCTTCAAAGTGTAAGGTAGCCCATCTGAGTCATGTTGCGGAATGCGAATACAATTCAGGTAACTCCACTGTAGAGGCATCTCAAGTTGACAAAGATTTAGGAGTGTTGATATCCTATGATCTGATGTGTTACTCTAAATGTGACAAAGATGAGTTTCAAGGAAACTTTAGTAGTATCCGGAAATTAGAGACACAACATAGCAGAATCAACTGTAGGTAAGTCTTTTACTATTCACGAGCAGTCAAATTATGGAACACTCTCCCGACTAAAGTAGTTCAGTCAGATTGTCGGGAGTGCTTTAGAAGTGACATATTCTTAAAGAATAAAAGCAAACATGCCTAGGTTATTACCTGGAGGCATCTGTGATTCACTGCTGCTAAATACGAAGTCCTGTCAAGCGAAAGTTCATCCTATTCCATCGAGAAACATTAGGACCATTTATGAACCAATCAGAACACAAACAGAGATCTGGCGCAGTTTTCAACTGTCTACTGTTTGGTGTTTGTGGCAGCGCTCCAGGGGTATCGCTACACTTTTTTGCGCTACTTTTTTATTTCTGCTTTGTGCACAACCAAATTTCGAAATACATTATGAATAAATTTGAAAGTTTATTTTCCGTTTTCATAATTAGGTAAAAAGGGGTTTTTCCATTTTGCGTTACATGGTATCGCGAAGTCCTTGAAAATTCACTATTCAGGTGCTGCTATAATAGTTTTTCGGTGTTTGCATCGCAGATTAGCAATTATTTCTAGTTAGGTATACACTGATAGTAGACAATTCTTTTATTTTTATATGAAATAGCAAGATTCAGGCATATATCGTCATAAAAATTGTATTGTCGTCAAGGCTACCAAAACTGCGTTACAACTAACGATACCATGGTAAGATTTATCGTTTTTCCTATCTTTATCACAATTTCTGCTGATTTTCACTGTTTTGTTCGACTTTTATGGCAGAAATAGGTTTATAGTGAAAACATAAGGTGTCCTGAGTGTTGTAAATATTGTGTATATGCTATAGATGATAATAACACATATCTTAAGATGTTAATATCACCTCCTACAGTTAGATATATTAGCCACCAGATGATTGTATTGCAGTAAATAAATCATAATCATGCGGTAGAGGTATAATTATGTGGGGATTCTGCCAAAGACCAATCTAAGATAGCATTACTACCTCTTTTGTAGATCTACACAATTATTTGGCTGTACCAAAGCATGTCATTGAGAGATGGTTGTGACTTTTTTCTTTTTTTAAATTCTGAATTCACGGGACGACTACCTCAATTCTCAATAGCCGTGCAATTGTTTTGATGTTCTACCTACATTTCAATAAATATTTTTCAGACAGCTTACTTTTTTACTTACATGGGAAACTGTAGAAGTGTTGAGAATGTGTGTTTGAGTGTCAGTGAACTTTTGAATAAATGCACATTCCTTATAAATAATACATCACGTGTTTCTTCTTTTGCAGATAATTTCAAATAACAATGAATTAGCAATTGCATTGGATATGCAAAACAATCGATGCTTAAGCTTCTGCTCTAGTGTTGTACAATAATACGCTTTACATTTTAAATAAAATTTTTCAAAAACATGCCGGTTTTACGCTGTATTGCAGATTTATTTTGGTCTGTTGTTGAAAATAAAGGCGAACATAGTAGACCTTTGGGGTTATGTTAATGGATGGAAAATAGGGAGTTCTGTGTGTATTTAGGCGAAAAGCAGACAATTCAGCTGACATTTAGGCAAAAAGTGAGTAATTTATCGACAAAACAGCAAAAACAGTCGACATTCTGATGCGTTTTCCCCTTTCGCTACCAAAGCATTTACCCCTTTATTTCCCCTTTTTGGGTTGTCTGGGGAGCTACAATGTTTTGGCTGCCGGTATTATTGCCAAAATACCTGATAGCAGAAATAAGTACTGCTATAAAGCTGTCACGAGAAAGCATTGAAAAGTACGACTCGATAGTCAAGATATCTTGATCTAAGGTGACCAGATTGTGTGAGATCCTATGTGATGATCTTCGGAAATCAACCAAGGCCTGTCTAGCTTACGTGCTGATGCCGTAAATGACAATTACTCATAACTTACGTGGGACTAGAATAGAATATGCATCAAGAACTGCAGGTTACACAGGACGATTCAAAGTAAATTCACACAGCAGTCTTTATATATGTTCGTCGTCGAAGTTTCCGAAGTGCAATCTGTCCAAAGAATTAAATAATACATTCCGTGTATGTTGTGACCCAGACTTTCCTAAGCAACGCAAGAGATAAAGGAAATAAGCGTGATTGACTATCCAAAGAAAGGGTGTGCTAAATGCACTTTCGATCTGTAATTGAATACTGGTTTCCGTTTTTATATTAGTTTCTGGTAAACATTTATACTGAAATAACTTTCCTGTCTATCTTATTTCCAGCTAGCTTCGCAAGCGTTCACAGACCTAACGGGAACAATTCCTGAGAAATAGAAGTTATTTATTAATGGATCATTTGTGCTAGATTCAAACTTTAATAAACGTTTTCATTTATAACGCACCAGTTTTTTAATTACGGCAATTCGTATCTATCGTGACAGGTCGAAATTCGAACTACTAGTATGGTACACCATGTTCAAGGTTGCAGTATTTGGCAAACGGTATGTATGACTAATCGCGTGTGCGCCAAACTGGTAATTATTACACAAGAACGCGAAACAACACCCCTGTCTCACAGCTACATAAGACTGCACAGTACACTCCCTGCCGTTACGCTATAAGAATAAGTCAATGGCCATATAAATGAATTTATGTAAAACTAAAAACATTACAATATTATAACTTCTTGTTATCAAGAAGCATAGCTATGGTCTGTATTAACAATGGATTCTGACGTTGTAGCTTCGTCATTAGCACCGATTGAACTCATCAATTGTGCACATATGTCTTCCGATGCTTCGAGGCACGAACGGATGAGTTTACTTGCCAAAGGTTCACTAAGAGCATGGATTGAGTGGTAGTCGCTAGCGAACTTCTCTAGCAGATCATCACTCCCTGTAGAGATTGAGATGTTGTCGAGCGCACGAAGAACCAGGTCCATTATGTATTTTCTTGTCCACTTGTTGCTATGTCGAAATAAGTCTACAAAACATGTAGAGATAAAGGATTACACATACCTCCACGAATCAGATCTTTAGAATGTGCATACAAAATATGACCACAGGGCAGCATGTAGTCATTGAAGCGCAATATTTCGACCTGAAGGATAAATTCATTTGAAGTAAGGCATACGTAGATGACCGACGTCGTCTCCTTTGCCTAGGTTGTGTTGGCGAGTTAGAAGTTGTATGCTCTTCAGAAGAATGATTATTACTATCATCATCTACATCCTGAACGCAAGCATCTGACTCTAACGAACTGCGTTTACGTCCATATGTACAGACATAACTCACGAAAAAGTACTTTTGAGTTGGATCATCACTGTTCTCTTTGCATACTGACATAACGTACTTAGTACGCGTATACTAAAAAATATATTATTAACCACAGAAGTCATATTACCTATATTATGCATCATCACGATGGCATCGTCTTCGTTACTTGAAGAATGAACGTTACTAGACATGATGTGGCTGAACTCAATTCAAATCTAAAAATGTCTTGATTTGACCGCTTCTGAAAATTTTCACGAATTGTCGATGTGACGCACCAATCAGTTTGCTACAGTTTGACCTTCAAGTGCTCGCAACTCCCATCAGTGGACGATACCCTAGGAGCGTTGCCGGTGTTTGTTGTCACAACTAATATCTCGGAGTTTAGATAACCACATATTACTTAAAAATTAAAAGATATTTCTTCGAAAATTATTCTGTAATCATTAATTTTCAAAAGTTGATGTCCACTTACAGTGAAAGTAAACAATTACTTACATTCCTTGAGAATTTTCATCTCTCAGCCTTTAATTCCAGAGGTTAATATACATCTCAAACCACGACTCGTATTAAGTTATTTGTGTGCGGAAGTCGGGACTTACACTGATCACCTTGTACAGATGTGATAGATAAAGTTATCGTACGTACTAAAGTCGCCAACCGGTATGATGTACAAGTTTGGACACCTAACCAAGCCTATGTAGCCGAAGGTGGATAAAGTGACAATGTCTTAACCACTAAGTCACTGTTATAATGGGTGCTTCTAAAGATACTTTGACCGATCAATATTGTGACACTGATATTCGGCTTTGGAATATGTTTTTTAAAAAACATATTCCATAGTGAATTTTCGTTTCTTTTGGTCCTTGTTATGGGTGCTTGTCAAGTCATATGTGGAAGTGTCTTCATTTTAGTATTTAACACGGCTTCATCAGCCTGGTCACGTTCTACATGTTCTATCCCAATATCCTCCACACTGCTCGTCACTAACCGGTTGGAAAAACAGAAAGCTAGTAGCTTGGCTGCACATAGTGAAGGGTGGCTGTGTTCGATTATTACCTAATGGTCCACCGTAACTATCTAAATCAGGTCTAACGATCGTACAACTCCAATTGGATATATGCTTCGCCCAGTGGGAATTTTCTTGTTGTATTTCTGTCAGGTGGTAGGAACTTCTAACAATAAAATGCATCTTGGTTGTGAGCTCGCTGAAAATATTTATCTATACATTTTTACCTTTATATTGGTTGTGTGATTTCTTTTCCAATTCTTCGTAATATTATTATGTCACATCATATAGTACATGTAGTGGTGCCTATCGATACCAAGGTTTTCTTTGGGTATTAATCACAGTGGATAGAAGGCCAATAATGACTTTTTATGGAGCTTCTATTCATTCCACCTCACTGACAAGTCACTCAGCTTTCGACCACTATTTCGGTTTAAACATCGCTTCACTTTCTCATGTGTATTAGTTTAATGTTGGTTTACGAAACAAAGTGGATAAATAGCTTATTTTCGAAGCTCCAGAAGATCAAATGGCAGACAGCAAATCTTGAGAGGAACTGTCGTAAGCGTTTTGTACCAAACTAAACAAAAAAAAGCTAAAGGTATTGCCCTTCGTTCTAAAACTTTTCGATACAATCATTAAGATCATGTAAATACGTACATTCAGTTCAAAAAACCTTAGTGGTTTTATATTATGTGTAGTATCGCATTGTGATATGGAACTAGGACGTTTCAAATCAAATCTACTTATTGCCAATATAGGAACAACAGAAATAACAGGAGCTTTCTGACGAAGAAACACTAGGATATCATTAATACACTGACAAATTCTAAACATTTTTCGACTTTAAAAGTGGATAAAGAGTTGGAATTTGTTCTCGAGAAAAAGATTTCCAGGAACTGACTAACCAAAATGATCTTACTGACGGTATAGAGAATAACCTTATAAAATCTTCAATGATGCTCGAAGATTAATATATGATTTTGTCAAACTCGTACGAAACAATTAGGGCGATGGAAACTCATTTATCAAGGTTATATGAGTTGTCGAATGTCCATCGAGACCAACAGATATGTATAACTTCTCTTATACTATTATGAATGGGTTGGTAACTACTTTGAAACCCATCTACACGAAGATTCTGAAGTAGTGCTAACTATATCTCCTAAATTGTCAGCAAGAGCAAACGTGTAAACACTTCAAAACAAAGACAGAGCCTCTAAATGTAACATCATGATTCTTAATTGTTCCAACCATGGTGACCGTCGAATATATATGTCGGTAACTCGGAAGAAATGAAACAAAGGAATTTCGTTTGCCATCATAAGTGTTATTACTTCATCACAATATTTAATTTGTAACGGTGAAATCTACGAACAAAGGATTGGCTTCAATGAGTTTACCATCAAGTCTATATTAGCTGACACATTTTCAATTAAACTTGTAAACGGTCCACTTCATAAGTTTACTCATGAGTTTAGACTTTACTGTCGTATGGTGGATACAGTTATCCTTTATAAAAATAGTACCAGAGATCATAGGCAATTTGACGAAATATACTCTGTCACTGAGTTCGCATGTGATGAACGTTAGGGTAGGATGTTTTGCTAGCGAAACGAGTTGATAAATGGATAAGGAATTTAAACAAGAAAATGCTTGGGTGGTGGAAAATACACATTTCTCCAACCTTGTGTTTCTGCAGTACGAAACAAACCTAGAAAGACCACTTATTTACAGCATAGCGGCCATATTCTCTACTCATACTATCACAGAAAATCTGAAAGCCGTGCATAATACTGAGAAAAAATTAATACTGTGGGATATTTACAAACAAATATCTGGTTACAAATTTTGTAAAGCAGATATTTAGACTTCTAATAGGAAATCTTACAATTCGGAGGTTGTGTTGCCAGTAAAGTAATAATCCCGAAATTACCCAGGATAGTGGAGAGAGTGTTAAGCAACAAGTTCTCCGTGCTTATGGTGGTGTCACATACTTAAGGGCTGATCAACCAAACTACTCAGCTCTTTGTATTTATCTATTCGACTACTGTGTAGCAAGTCACACTCACCGACGATTCATGGATTCACATTTTCTCGCTCCTTAATCCCTCCATTATGGGTAAGCGAAATAGTAAAACCGTAAATAGCTCAATCCCGCCCTACTTAGTTCAGACGAATCATACAGCCAGGATAAATCCGTCGTGTCAGTAATCACCTTCCAATCCCTGTCAAATGGTAGAAGTGATGGCTATAGTGATCGGAATACTGGGGCTTAGTGTATATCATAAGTATCTCCAGCCTCTTCCTATACTTTGTATTGAATTAACATTATCACTCAATTCATATCATTTTACGCACTATGTAATCTTCGACGAAACCCTTTCTGTAATTTTCAGTCACATTATTTTTCTCTTTTTAATGTACCCATATTTATTCTGATTATTGGTTTCACAATTTGAGTTGATTTTTTTAGATTTATTTAAGTTAGTATTACCTATTGGTTACAATATGAGTAATGTTCTTCTAACAATCCTAAATTCATGCGCTATAATTTCAAAGAACCTGTTCGCTGTAAACGTGCTTATTTTATTGGTTCATTAATTTGGTCTTACTACCTTAGAACATGAAAATATATTGGAAAAAACTTTTCGTTCGCATATATTTTTTTATAATGGTAAATTTGCGATGAGTTGACATTTCTTTAAGATTGTAATGTTCTTTGATTTCAGGCATCTCAAAATTGGCATCGTGATGCAGCCATTTTGGCTCGCCTCATTAAAGATAACAAAGGGAGTATTGTCATTTATACTGGTGCTGGTATAAGTACATCGGCGTGCATCCCAGATTATAGGGGGACAAACGGTTTGTGGACTGTGCATTCTAATCGCGTAACAGGCGGTAATTCAGGTATCACGTTATGATCAGATTATTAGTTTAGTGCTACGTACCGTTGGTTATAACAAAAATGATCAAGCGAACTATACTGAGATGCTGAAACTACAGGTATAATACAAAATATCTGCACTTCATTTATTAGGATAAAATGCGTCAATGTGAATCACGGATTAAAACTCCTAAAAAGTCAAAAAACACCAACTTAAAGTTACGACTTCCAGAAGCAACCATTGCAAAGCCAACATTCACTCATATGGCTATCAAAGTTTTGGTAGATGAAGGATATGTACGTACCAACTTAATAGTATGAATTTGAGTTTCTTTTAAACTTGTTCTTGAATCCCATGTAATTGCCTTTAATTCAATAAAATTGTCTTAATTGTAGGATCTTTGATAAGCTGTCACTTTACTATGAACACTTAAACTGATGAATTTATACTATGATAAAGAGATTCACTGTAGATAGCGTTCTTGAAGTATGTGTGCCAACTGATATACCCTAACGGGATGGCTGCAATTATATAAAAGTGTTTACTTGAGATGTATGTTAATTCAGAAAATATTCGTAGCACAAAGTTTTGTTGTATAAGGATTTTCGTTCTCACTAGTTGAGTTACTATCGTTCAAGTAAAATCAAGTTCTTTTCACACTTTTTAGTTGGAATTATAGGCTTTTATGAAATGTTCACTATGTGGTTTAAAGTTAGGCTAAAATGTTATAATAAAGCTCTCTTGTAGAGACTGATTCCATAAAATGATTGTTGTTGCAGCTGTTACCTGAAAATTTCTGTCAGCCTAAGATGTGGAGCATTACTCTGATATGACATCCTAGTTTGCTGTTCTGTTTGATATAAGCTGTTGTTGAGAGCTACGATGTGCAGTTGACTGTAATGTTCGAAATACGCAGGGTGTTATCTTGTTGGTAGAAATAATCAGCAGTGGTCGCATAAAAGGCAGGTTGTATGATCGGTACTTTTACACTGAAAGAGGTTAAGTGAAAAGTTTAAATTTCTTCGGGCTTTACATGTTCTTTACCCTTGAGAAGAGAAAGCTGTGAATCAGCCAAATGTGCTGTTTTATGGTGTGATCATTGAACTTTTGGTATTAAAAGGCAGCACCCATGTAATTCCCATTTGGCCAAGAGAGAAGTAGTTTGCCATCATATCTATATTCATCTAGCGAAATGACTTTGTCATCAACATCTGTTCAATCCCTCTAGCATGGACTTCGTAGATAGACGTTCCAAACAGCCTAATTTGACTGTTACTGTAATTAACACATGTATGCAAGACGAGGCTTTTTTCTTATTCTCAAAATCCTCTTCAGCATTTCTCTATTTTGTGTCAGTGATCATTTTGCTACTTAGCTGTAAAGGTATTTATCAGTCTAAATGCTCACAAGACTAAATTTGTATCTAGGGTTTGTCACTAGCTGTATAAATGTTTCAGCAAACAATAAAATGTGGAATTAACTTTTTTGTTTCTTCATCTAAACTTCACTTACTGTTGACATTAGCAGTCAGATTGAACTGATTGACTAATTGCTAAGTTGATGATTAACAAAAACTTTCGTCTCTGTATAATCTCAGGTTCGACATGTCGTTTCTCAAAATGTTGATGGCTTACATGTGCGCAGTGGTTTAAATCGTGAAAAACTTTCGGAGCTACATGGTAATTTATTCATTGAAGTGAGTGCACTTGTACTTATGTATAAACCAATTTATTTTTGAACAAACTATTTTATGTGTCTGTCTCTGGTGCTAAAATCGACTGTTTTGTGTTTCGACACTGGAATTTTGAATCAAAGTACACAGTACCCACTGAGGTTTAAACTGCTAGTTATTATCATATTAAGCATTACAAAATAAAGGTGGCTTATTGCCTTATCCATAAATATCTATTGAGGTGTTTAATTAGGTTTCTTAATTTTAAGTCTCTTGATAACAAAAGTTAATAAACTGCAAACAGATAAATGTTCATTCCACGAAGAACCATTTTCGACCCACTCAAAAGTTGGACACATCGATAATGATAGTTTTCAATTTCAATGATAAAACCTTTTGTGCTATCTACAGTTTGCCATTTAATCGCAAATTACATAGCATCAGTTCACCAGTACTGACAGAACGCTGTTTTTAGGTAGTTGTTAGAATAAAATTCGTCAATCATGTACTAATTAGAGTAGGGAGTTGTACTTGTCACTTGAAGTCGAAATGAGGCATTACTTGTATAAATAGGTCGTCTATACTGTCTTCAGAAATTTGGTAAGATGTAGTTACTTTTGCAAGTATGTGTCTAACCAATACTCAGTAACTGAATAGAGGTTCATATTTTAAGATATGAATTACATCTTACAATAATTGATCACTTAATCGTAATATGTGAGCCTACAGTTAGAATTTAAATACATAGACCAGTGAATTAAAATACGGTACTTCTGATTTTCGCATATAAATCGCTGCTTTTCTTCTGTGTGAGTTTTTTAAATTATTTCATCCTTCGTCTAATTATTTATATGGTGTGTTTTGTGAAACAAATGAATAAAGTGCTTTATAGTATAAATCATACTTTGCCTTGATATTTCTTATTGTAGCAATGCATCGCTTGTGAACACACTGTTTTTCGGACTTTTGACGTTGCCGAAACAACTTCTCGTTCACACCATTATACTGGACGCATTTGTCCTCGGTGTCGTAATTTACACCCTGTTGAAAGTACAATAGCCAGTGATATACTAAAGAAAACAGCTGAACATTCGGCAGTATCTAAATACAAGAAAAATGTATCAAATGAAAATCTTATGTTGAGTTACCGATATGCTGCAAGAAAATTAGCCAAATCTTTTGAAGCTGTACGTCTTAAAGCAGTGGAACATTTACGCAATACTCAAAAGTCTGAGATGCTGACGGACTCAGTTCTTACGAAGGCACCTTTACTAAGAGATGTTGTTGTACACTTTTTTGAACGACAACCAGAGATGGGGTTAACAGAAATATATCGCATTCGATCAGCGATCGAAGCTGTACATGGCCGTAAAGTTCTTCAAGATGCTATCAATGCCACTTCGAATGACCGTAAACCTTTGAATCATGGATGCAAACGTTCCCATGAAGAGTCAACAAAATATCTCATTGGATCCCCATGGTTTAAAAGAATGTGTCCTGCTATGAAGATGGAGTGTCAGGATTTTTGTAAAACATCAGAAGCAGTTGATTTAAAACCTATCTCTCCGGATTCTCTGGATACTCCTGCTAAATTAATTGTTGTTGTTGGTTCATCTTTAACTGTTTTGCGCAACTATTCATTTTTATGGCCTTATGGCCTTGGGAGGTGCGGTCAACTAAGTTCGTCGAGCAAACATAAAAAGAAACCCACATGTGTTGATTCTGTTTTCAAACCGACTTCAATCCCTGATACCCCTGAAAATTGTCGGTTGGTTATTATCAATTTACAACCAACGTGCAAAGATGTGGTTGCAGATTTGGTACTTCGAGTTCCTTGTGATGAACTATTTCGCGTTATTATGTCAGATCACTTGGAAATAGATGTTCCACAATATGACCACAGGCATGATCCTCTTTATTCATTCGGTCTTTCTTTATCTCCAGAAGAAGAATGCACACGTACTCGTTTGAACATCCCATTTTCTTCCGTATAATATTGTTTCAAAATTTTTCACTCTGTGGTGTACAGTTTCACATGATTTGGTTGTAGCTATTGGTTACTATTTCGTTCTTTAGACGTAGAATAAACATTTCTCTTTTGTACTCAAAACAAGAATCAGTACCTTTGTAAATAATAAGGTGCATTTCCATAATTAAAAGAACCTAATAGAATTACATCGTGTCATAGTAGTTTATTTGCTCTCGAATTAAACATGGATTCGTAACACCAATCGATCAATTCCTGAATATTAAAAAGTACATTTCACTTTTGGCTCTAGTTGAGATTATTTTCTTTTTCCACTCCTGATCTTTAGCCCGTCCCTTTTTTGTATAAAATTCTCTTATTTATAGTATTTTTTTTCATATTAAGGAGAACTAAGAGACAAGATAAATATTATCGTGGTGAACTTCGTAAAACGCTATTGATCCAATATTGAGATGTCTACTACGGGAATCGAAGTGTTTCAGGTAGAATTCTGCCGAATTCTTCGTAGTTTGAATATCAAAAACCTTGGTCGCACCGCACTAGGTATATTTTTTCATATTTTTACTCAGTTCAATAGTTCAAGAAGGTAGTCCGTTAGTGTCTTGACTATGTAGCTACGGCATCTGAAATGTCTTAGTTTACTTAATAAGTTCTTGATGTCATTGGATAATTCGTGATTTTGTAAGATCAGCAGCTTAGTGATCAAAACACTAGTCCCAACCGTAAATCTCAGATTCGAAACACCCTCCACCTACTTCAACTTTTACAACAGAGGTATTATTATTTCCCGTCTTCTCACGCATACAAACAATATGCCTGAAAACGGAGTGAACAAACCCGTACTTGGTAGATGGATTACTTCCTTTAATAATTATTTCCTTCCACGTTACATGATGAAGTATTTATTTATTTATTTATTTATTTTAACACATAGATATTGGTACAAGAAGGCACCAAATACATATGTGCCACACAAATCTTATTCGATATGTGCGAGGGCTGTGATACTGCCCGGGTGCCCAAACCGAAGCAGGTGGTTTTCTTAGGGGGCCACTCCCCGAGCCTTTGACCTAGAGGTCTTACCCACAAGGCAGTGGAGCATCGTAAGGAGATGCAGTCCCATGGTAGCCGGTGACCAACGATTGGTTCATACGCCATTCGTTCCCGCAGGATACTGGAGCCCATGTGCACCATCAGTTTGGGATCCGGTTAAAGCGCCGGACATTCGCTTTTCGTCCTCTCATTTTTGTAAATAACACCCCCGCCACGAAAAGACAGTGAGTAGAACTTCCCTGGCAGAGGCTATATACGCGTGGCCATGTGAGAGCATTTCGAGAGGGAGAGCGGACTTTCCCCACTCTCGGCCGTACCAGGGCATTTGGGGGCAGTTTATAAAGGGAGGACTGTGAGACCTCCCCATTGACAAAAACTACACGCCCGAGCGCACCCGATTAGGGTTCGTCGCGAGTTTTAACCCACTGAGGTGCAATGGCGAGCCTCCACCCGGGGTCAGAGCATTCCTGATCACCCTGAACCCGGCGCCAGTGAAGTGAACTATCTTAATATCAGACGCTAAAAATAGTTTGTTTGTGTTCCATCGATTTAAGGTTGTAAACGGTTGCGAAAAGAAAATTTGGAGACTGATTGTACATAGGTTCTTATTTTGTTGTTGATAGTTTCTACATTATAAACCTTTCCGCTAGCGATTGCCAATTCTAAATTGCTTACTGACAGTCTTAACCATTTCGATGATATCTTGATAAATGTTTAAACTTCCAGTTAACAGGAATCAGTTGTATATATTTCTGTAAAATGTGCCTAGTTCACACTTGTTACTTGCATGTTTATGATGTATACATCTTGTTAACTAGTTTGCACTTCATACATGTTTCGTTTTTTTGGGGTTCGTATTTTTCTTTGGTTTTAAAGACAATAAATTAACAATCAGAAAGTTATAAACAAAGAATATTACTGAATATATTCATTATATAAAGGAAACATTTTTAAAAATGAAAAAAATATACCTTTGACTTACAGCTTAGTGGCTGGGTCATGTTAGTAGATACAAACTCCTCGATAAGGGTCAACGCAATTATCGCAACCAGTTGTCGTAGAAGTTGGGTAACATAGTCCAAGATCCGTCGCATTAATAAGGATGCATTCACTCGTTTTCTTTTATTAGACCTCAAGTTTCAGAATTATCATACATTTTATTGTGTTATTCTTCAACTTTATCCTTCTCAAATCGTATTGACTATGCCTGATCTTATCTACTACTACTGGTATTACACATTATTCTAGGATTTATCGTAATTTCATCTCGTGCTAATGTGGTGTGGTAGTTTGAACGAATGCACATGTGTCATTCTATTTCGCGCAATGCTGACTGGCTGACTGATAGCTCAATGACAAATTACCAGTGATTTTGACCAAAATATGATCTGAACCGTTAATGTTAGGGTTATATTCACTGCCGTATGTGGGATTCAGTCCTGTAGGTAAGTCGCTTACAATCAAGAACTCAGTCATGATCTAGATGATATCTGGTGCTGTTAAAGGAACTATTTCATAAGTTTAACAAAAAAGCATTAACTTTGTTTTAAATTCAACTTAGATATAGTTTGATTTTGAGGTCATATTTTATATCTGTTCAGAATGAATTAAAACTTCAAAATTAAGTGTTACATTTATATGATATGTTAAATGCAAAGTTTGGTTTGATCGTGATGTAATATGAATGTCGTTACACATACCACCTGCAATAATTTAGGTTTGTATTAGCTAATTTAACTAAAGTATCACAGTATACGATAAAGTAAGCAAACAGAATGTTAACATCCTGATAGAAACTGAAGGTCTATCACCAGTATTACACCAGTCTTTGGAGCAAGTCGCAATGCATCCGTGGTATAAGTCATCATCTAATTGGAATTGTCCACAGTGAGTTGGTATGTCGGTTAGTTTGTCCATAGAACATCTCCGTATCAGTAAACTGGAACCGTCCTTCTGGCGAATACCCTTTATTTTTGTGCAGTAGTGGGCATAAAACAAACCTTCATGTCCAGGTATCGTTTGACGACATGGTCGTTGAATCGTGATATGAGCACTGACTGGATCCTCACATGGTGGGTTACTTTTGTTCATTGACACACAAGAATAACAGGCGATTGCTGTTGCTGTGAAATTTTTATTAAAAGAAATGCAGCAAGTTTTTATTATATGACATGATGAATGCGTTACATATTTTTAATTACAAAAGGAACGTTTAGTTATCGTCATTATTTTCCTTTCCACATAGTTCCTCTGGTTTTGCAGCTTTTATTGGTATTTAATTAGCTTTCTTAGTAACAAAGTATAGTGTGTTTGATAAATTTTCAGTGCATCGTCAAAACTTACATCAGGGAATATACTGGAGTTAACTGATTATCGAAGTCGGACTAATTAATTCTATGTACATGTTCATTGTGTTATCACTTAGTTTTGTTATGATGCATTAGGTCTTCTCACTAATCATCAAACCAAGGCTTCGTTGCCTATTTAATCGTTTGAAAGTTGTTCAAAGTGAAGTGGCGGCGAAAACACAAGTCAGCTGCAGATATATACGTGCAACTGTTTGGATTTGTAGTGTACTAACTAAACACAACTTCTGATTGTAGTTAGTATATGTATCTAGTAATATGACTCGTTTGCTATTAATAATTTGGCTACTTCAAGCAAGTGATACCAGTATATCATAGACTACTGTTTTTCTCGTGAACTGAAAGATCCTTCAAAAATTACTAATGGTCAGATCAAAGCTCTGGACAACTTGACATTCGTCTTTGCTCATTTTAACTTTTTGAAGTTAAATATATTTGTCAGAAGTGTACTAATTTTGATTACCATCCCAAATTTTCTGGAGAACTGCACAAGCACAACATCTTGAAACAAAATAAAGTAGTAACAGAACTTTGAAATTTCAGTAAGTTATTTCTTAAAATTGAACTTCAAAAAGAATACTGGACTATACTGTAGAGATTTTTACGTTGCTGTAGAAATAGCTGACTTTATTACGGTACTAAATTTAGCAACAAATTGGAGCTAAATGTTCATTAAAGTAAAGCTACACCTTAAAACATGAAATAGTTCAGTCTTATAATCTAGGCGTATTAGAACTCTTATGAGATGAAGCTCTATTCCGCCAAAAATATAGATTTAAAATGGTTCGATAATAAGTCAATAAAAGTAGAATTACACATGAAAATTTGTCAACTCACCTACATTCGCTTTACATAATACGTAAAAAATAATCAAATGGCATACTGTTACAAATGAGATTTTCTGACTACTGATTACTTTCATATCGATTCATCTTATCAAATTCCATAACATTTTAAGCTTATTAAAACAGTATAAAGTTCTTTAATATTATAAATAATTCATGTCCTAAAATATACTTTAAATGAAGAAAATGTTTTACTCGTTGATATCGGTCTAACTTTCATGTTGTTCTCATTGGTTAAGAACTAGTTACAATAGAATTTACAAATATCCGATTGGTAGTTTTTTTTATTAAATATAACTTAATTGTGGATTTGTCCATAAACAAGCATAAATACAATTTAGCCATTGATTATAATGATTGGAATGTGAGATTTTGTTAATAAAATAGTATTATTTATTCTTTTTGATGAACATTGATAGTACATCTGATATTTGGAAAAGTCAATGCAGGATAAAAGTGAGAAAATTCAAAGGTTTGATTATATAATGGAATGAACAAAATTTTCTTGATAGTAGTTCTTGTGCATAAAGGGGTATTTTATCTACAAATGAAGTTAAATAGTGTTTAACCCAAATCGGATGTGAAAATGTACTTTTATAGTTGTGAAGTTACAAAATGTACTTTCAAAGCACTAAGAATATCTTCACCATGAAAGTTAGAAATGAAATACTTGGCAGTGATTGATCTGCTTTAATCACTTATGGGATTCGTACGCTCAATTCTTAAATTATTATGTATTCAGACTACAATTAATAGTAATGGCGTACGTCTTCATACTATGTCCAGTCTAGAATGTTAAATGGTCTACTTTCTTTCACTTACCTACGCCTCTATTTACTTATTAATTAGCGTAGATTTTGTTTCACTAATTGTATTTTCCTTACTGTTTTGTTATTATTGTAGTATTAGAAAGTTTAACGGATTGAATGATCTCCATTTATAGTTTCGAGGTTCATTTTCTACTAAACAACTAATCAGTCAATTATTAAACACAGAGTTCATAATAGACATATCAATGTATTTACACAAATAAATTTTAGTAGGAATATTTGTTCAAATACAATAATTAATATACAGGTATTTACAGTACAATGCAGAGTAGATAAATTAAGAAAGTACCTAATACGAGGAAATTCCAAGACGAAATAAATAACAACGTAGAAATCCGGGCTAAAAGTGCGAAAAATCTTTTATCACAGTATAATTTTGCGGGATAAACTGTTGTACACGTCTTCTGTAGGTATTTAAAAAAAAGAAGACTAAGAAGTAAGGAAAGAATGAAATTATGTAAATTATTCCGTTTATTAAATAAATAAAAAAATCAAGTGAAGATAAACAACAGAAGTGATGAAAAGAATGAAGTAGACGGGTAGAATTTTACCGGATTGACATCGCAGAATGAACAAATTATAAATTAAGTATCACCACTTTTTATTGTTTTAATTTATTCACGAGTATATGGAATTTTGTAAATAAATGCGGAGGTGGTTACTGAAAATGGTATTCAGTAGTATAGAATAAATTGAAAAATATCCAGCAGACTTTATGTCATTATTTTGTTGATTTTAGTGGAAATTCATCATTTTGTTTCATTCCTGTAAAACCATTAGTCAAAGTAGATTTAGGTATCACGATCAGAGGATCAAGTAGTCGTTTAACATTGGTGAAATTTCTTTCCAACTCTTTATGATATTCTATCTGATCAGAACCGATTAATGATTCATTTAGACGGAGAGCTTCATACGATCTATAATTAGGAATGAACAAAGGTATAATAAGGAAAAAGTGAGTCAGCAAATTTTGTAACAGTGGTTGCTAGTTCTAGAAGAGCACAACTTGACGAAAAACTATCAGCACAGGTTCTTATAAAGTTATTTTCTAAGAACACGTCAATATTGGTTACAAATGTAAAACAGGGAATTAAGCTTAAAACAATTGACCTATATCTTATTTCCTTAAATACTGTTGAGTTTTTTAGATGATAATTTAGCTTAACAGTATAAGTATAAATTCAGTATAATGTTGCTCAATAGCATTTAAGTCTAGTTTGACCAGCCTAACTTAAACACTGTGTTGTGTGCCTGTAAATTGAATTCTTCGACGATAGCCAGATGTAAAATCATACGGATACACTTCATTTCTCGATTTTTGTGCTTGTATGAAGCGTCTCGTAAACTGAACTAGTTCACTTAAGAACTATGAATAAGAATAAATGGAAGCTATCGAGTCAGTGTATGGAGTATCCTGTATAGAAAAATCACATATGTATGGATGAGTTTCTTGTTTTTATGTTCATAAATGTGTTGTACCGTAAAGAATAGTGACCTGTTGAGAGAATATATTCACAAGAATTTCCAGTGTAATTTAGTTAGTTACTAATTAACTTTATTATTCCTGCAGTTAATTCACTGAAATAAATGTTTAGTCATACGGATTGATTAAAAAGGTGTTTAGACATATAAGATCTGTGTTTTTTTGTCTGACGGAGCTATTTTAATCAAGTAATTTAACTGTTAATACTCTATATACTAAGTTCTCATTTTTGCTTCAAATTACAAACACACCTACATATTTTTTACAGTACTTTTTGTTAAAACATATACATTTATAAATGATGCAGTGAAAAATTACTTTATAAGAAATTGTTGAAAAGTTATCCTAAGACGATTTTGTATATCTTCATATGTAGTGGAATTCAATGTTGTAGACGACTTATTCTTATCGGGAATTAATGATTTTAGTGGTTTATTTTTTTCATGCCCCAAGAAAGTTGTTGCCATTTCAACAGGTCCTTGGTTGACCACAGTTCCGATGCATCCCTGAACGAAAAAAAGCGTAATTATCAATATTCCCGATGAAATCTTACGAATTAAAACAAAAACAAACAACATATTGTAGTAGGAGATTGGTGAAAACCTTAGAGATAATACAGATCGACATTATAATTTGTCACTTTTGTTAATGGGCGCTATGTCTTAGCATCGTAACTTCTCTTAAATATCCACTTCTAGCAATAGTTTGCCAGATTTAATTATTATACAAAGCAATCATATTATTTTTGCAAAATATCCAAATGCATTATATATTTTTGTGTCTGCTGTTATTATCAAACAGTAGTTTACTGTAGTGATGCCCATGGACAATTTAGTGGGTATCCGTTTAGTGATTTTTAAAACTTGATTTGTGAACAATTGTTATCCAAGTTTGTTTCCTTAAAATTTTATTCATGCTTAACGTGATTATCAGTACTACATAATACTGTTTCTGTGTACTGTACAATATCTGGTATTGTAGTGCAACCCGAAATCTGACTCCGATTAGATCGGACGAATGATTGCTATGGAAATGTACATGTCACTAACCCTTGTATATAGTCATCGACTTAAATCGCGTTAGCGAATAAAGGAATTAAATAAGTCCATTACGAGAATGGATTTAGAATACGTATATTTCATACAATCGTTGATTCAGACTAACAATCAGAAAAACGAAGCGAATCGGAGATGGCATGTGAACCAACTCGATCTAACCAAGGTTGAATCGATATTTATAGTCAGACAAAAAGAAGTTGCAGATTCATAATGAATAAGGCAAATAATTAACACGCAATCATATAAAGAAACAGTCAGGACTAATAGGCGAATAAGTGACAAGGTAAAAATGTGGCTTGAGAAGAATGAATAGATTGGTCTGTCCCGAAGCTAGAATAAACTATGTGGGCTTGAAATATTATCAGCCCCTACAGTACAAACACATTTCCCCTTGTGTAATTATCATTCAAAAAGTACTACATATCAACTACAACCTGTTCTCATTGTTACTTTCGTCAATAAAAAGGACCCCCAACTGGTATTTTGCAGAGCTATTTCTGATCATCCAATAACCATTGGACCTTGATACCAGTATAACTAAGTATTGTGAAGTGGAATTCAGTCAGCAACACCTCTAGTAACGAAAAATTTGTGGATACTTTGGACTATTATTTTAGAAGTATCGATTTATAAGTAAAAATTAGAAACCAAGGTATAAAGAAGGGGTCAGTTCATGCCAATCACTTGGACTGTTTTTTCTTTTGCAAATCACCTACCAGTACACGTTTAGGTATTCAACTTTGACCAACCTCTTGCTCTATACCAAATATGGAGAATCTTGCACATGGAAAGAAAAATATGACAATAATTATAAGTTTACAGTTCTGGAATGTAATAATGCAAAATTCGCCTGTACATTTTATATGATTAGAGTAGTTTGTCGAAATACAAAATGCAGAGGTCAATTATCTAGAGAAATGTTGAACATAAATTTTCTTAATTAAATTAGCTAATTTTTAGGTGAACTACATCTATATACACACTAGTAATCACGGAACTTTTTTACTTGAAATGAAATTTGAATGAATCACAACAACCTACTTGTAATAACATTTGTAAATATTTGACGTCAGGTGGTTCTGTTGCTAATACTCGATCTAATTGTTCAACTCGATGTGTTATATCTTCTAAAGCAACTTCAATTGGGGTCAGAGTATGCGATTCAGTTGATACAACTAATAAACGTGTCTTCATATACGGAAAACATCGGGATGTTGTTAGGATATATTTTCGCTTGTATTGTGTACTTAAACTACCATGAGCCTGTCCATCAATTGTGAACGGTAGAGAAAGAACAAAACGCTCTGAAAAAAAGTGATAGTAAAATCCCTTCACAATAAAATACTAAATTTTGAAGTAACACACTGAAAATAGAAATGTACCAACTCTTCAGTAAATGAATTCCAATCTACTTACATTAGGTAGATACTGTGTTTATATTGTCGTATGTATAGGAGAGACAGTACAGCAAAATATTCAACTACAAATAGATTGTTAATAATTGTTTAAGATAAAATATTAGAGAAAGTAGCATTGTCAAATCGTTCTTTTTCTTAAATGGTTTTTTTGTCTTGTTTAATTAATCAACCTTATTCACATGTAATCTGTAAATATATTTCTTTGATCCATACACTAAAAAGAGGGGAAGTTTACTTTGTCCCTATGGTATGTAGACTACTTAAAGCCACGCAATAAGTGAGATGATGAATAGAAAGAATCGGGAAGATGAGTGTAGTAAAGAAAAATAGCAAAATAATAGGCGTGTGAGAGTAAAGAGGAGAAAAACAAATAATGGGGGAAGCAGTTCAATTAAGAAAGCTGTAACTAGAAATCCTTTTGGCTAGAGAAGTTCCGCTCACTTCTATGAAGATAATGAAGGGAAATTACAGCCGGATTGGCACTGGCTTTTATTCCGAAACATTTCCGATAACTCTTCAAGCTACGGTGCTTTGTATAACTGCTCACCACTAAGTGCGAATGCAGGCACAGGTTTCTGCTAGTCTTTTAGAAGCACTTTGGACTTAGAAGGTGCAAAGCTCATGCCATACTTAAGGACATTCATTACCAATTGACTGAGCGCTGATTGCACGACTTGAGTATCAGCAAACAGTAAAACGACATCTGCACACTCAAGGTCGAGGAGAATTTCTCCAGTTAACAGATCAACATCACAATTACCTAGTTTCATCAGAGGTGCTTTCAGAATCCTATCGATGGTAGAGTTAAAGAGGATTGATGGGATTTGGCAGCCCTACCTGATCTCACTGCTTGAATGAAACAATGGAGAGAGGTGGTTATATTTCTTCAATCTGCCTGAGGTGTTTATATAACGAAACTTCAGGATTTCAATGAGCTTCTCAGGCTCACCCATCAACAAACAATCGCAGAGAACAGTCCTGTCCAATGATATGAAGGTGGGTCTGATATTGAGAAATATAGATTGTTGCCCTACAATGAGTATAGCAGATAATGGCATTTTATAGATTTATTCAATCAATATCGTATTTTTTAGTAAGTTTATATTGTTTCCAACTCGATAAACTAAAGGTAATACTTAGTATAGGGTAGTGTATATTGTTGAGTTTTAATTGAGATCATGAGCCGATGAAAGTTAGACCACCAGTGATCGGTTCATGATCTCAGTTAAAAGGCAATACTGTCAAGGTAATCTAGCGACATTTTTCTATTATGTAACCAGTAAGTTCATCTAATACCAATTGTAAATGTTTTTATGTTCTTACTCATAAGTACATCAGTGTAGTGAATGTGAGATAAGGGTTAATGGGGATCAAAAATGTTAATTTTCATATCATCCTATGGTTTCAGATTTAAGTTCTCCTAAATAATAGTTATTTTCACTAATAAATTAACATTTTGTAAGTCTACAAATAAAAAAATGTATTTAATACTGTACATATACAACTTATAATATGTTTTTGATGAGAAACTATGATCATAATACATCAGTTACATGGTCGGAAACATTTGACTTTCATTGAAAATATCTAGGGGCAATTAAGATTTGATATTTCTGTCTCATACAACTATGGTAAGATTAGTTAAATTACAGTAACATAATGAAAGGATAAAAATTAAAAAGAAAACTAGTCTCCGACTTACTTAGACCATAATTACAATGAAATTTAGTTGTACGTCTTCGAAGTTCAAAATCCTCCAAGTATGGTTCCACAAAAGTGATTTGAAGATAACCCTACAGAAATAAGGATAATGACATTGTCGGTTGAAAAATCTAATATAAAATATCCAGTTGAACAGAACATAATTCTTGTTCATATAAAAGATAATTAGAGTGTAAGATACATGGTAATGAAATGTTAAGGGAGGATTGCTTTACGTTACATAATAACTATTAATAAGGTTCACGTTACAAATCATTGTACAAAACCGGTTACTACGTTTAAATTCCGAAGAAAAAAATAAGCAAAAAATAATAGATACTCACTAACTGTGTATAAAATAATTAACTATACTCGTAGTACGAACTTTGGTAACGATCAGTTTATGTGTCAATAGTGCGGTGACGATTAAACTTGAACCTAAACACCGGAGAGTTAAGTGTTCAGATCACAGTTCCATGAAAAACCAGAACTACAAAGTAATGTTTCGTCTTAGAAAGTAATCACAAGTTTATAATAAAAAAGACACTGATAAAATATAATTGTTGAATTCATGAGTCGATCTAAGCTAGACCATCATTGAAAACCTGGAAGCACTGGACGACCGTTATGTTCAATGCTTCCATATGGTCTAGCTTAGATCGACTCATGAATTTAGCTTTTAAAATTAATACAATCTCCACGAATTCTTATTCTGATGATCAAATATAACTCCATTATATTAAACATACAAGTGTGAATTAAATCCCAAGAATAGTTCTATTTAAGAGTAGAAAGCACATATACGATCTAAAGCATTAAAAAACAGGCTACAAATATGCATTAAAATATCAAAACTCGTTAGTTTCAGACCATTACTAACTTTGGTGTGAAAAAATAATGTACATATATTCCTAATGAGTCAAATGCCGAACTTAATGAATATGAATGAAAGAAACGTCAAATAAATACACCATTTCATGAGGAAATGAATAGCTTTATAAATCAAATATTATGTTCTAAAACTGATATAGTCAACTCAGGTATAGCCTAACCTTCTTCAATCTGGAAAACGAAGGGGAGTAAATATCAAATATTTTTGAGAATAACTGAAATTTTCCAATTGATGTGATGAAACTACCGAATAAAACGTTTACTAATAGTAAAATATGACGATTGGTTTACTTGGATATTTACGTGGTGAAATTACTTATCAAAAGTAAAATACATTGTTTTAAAACTAATTTCTGTAGTATTTTTTCCTTAGCATTAAAGGGAATTATGAAGTTACCGATTGAGTTGTTGAGATTATATTAGTGAACTCACACTATTTAACGAGTATGGTTAGACTGCAGATAAGTATGTTCGATTCTCAATCCAAAAAAGTTTTATTAATCGGTAACCCTGACATTTTGACTTTTATGGAACTTGGAAATAGTTAGAAACTTTTTTGAACTAAGCAATGAAAAAGTAACTTACAAAACACATAATTTACTTACTTTATCACTATCTAATTGTTTTTCGTCTACAATATTTGAATCTTTAATGATGACTATCCTGTCTTGACCAAATTTATCTCCATAAAATGCCTACAAAATTACAGGCAAAAAAAGAAAGTACATAACAACATATATGAGTTAGAGTTTAATTAGAATTTTCACTAGATAAATATTAAGAATAAACCTAAAAGAACATTTGGAAGGCGACTTGCACACAGTCTCACAATCAACTAAGGACAGATTTGATTTTTACATTAACCTCTTCAAGTTATTTAATTTTCAACTTTTTAGAAAATAAATTTCATGATAATTTAAATTTTATTGTACTATCAACACTAAGTGTGAACTTATTATGAGCTCGAAGTCCAAAGTTTCTGTTTTCCACAGTGACAGTAGTCGTTAAAACAGACGCAAAAGGTGAATTTCGGTGATCTTGCATAAAAATTGAAAACTGCGACAAAACTCACTTCTTAAAGTTACACAGAATGCGTTTCTACACAAAAGTAATAAAAAAAATCTTACTTGAAGTCTATGAGTGATTTCAGCCAATTTCGTGAATGGAGCTTCTTTATATATAAAATCTTTACCGTTTAATTCACCAAAAATAATTCCATGAAAACCAACACGGAAATAACTACTGAACATTCTTTTAGTATTCTGAAAAAGTTAGAAAAGGCGTATTGATTAGTATGTTTCCCTAGTATTATCGCAGTTTTATCACCGAAATAATTCGACAAGATCACTAAGCTAAATGAGAATATGGGAATGCGAGACGCGTGCAGACGCAACAAAAATACGTTGATGATATCAGTTCTAATTAGACTAATAAAGAGATAACTGGGAATCATATAGAGAATACAAGTTTCCTTCATAATACTAAAAACCTAGAGATCTAACGCTAACAATAAAGATTGCCTTTTCTACACAACCGGAGCAACAAACATTATAAATCAACAAAATTAAATAGAAGTATTGATTTAGAATACTTTCGAACCCGAGGAATCGCTCATCAAAGACTAATGAGACACATTATTGTGGGATCAACTACCAGAAATTAGTGTACAGGATTCGATTACCCCTAAAAATCCCACAAACCTAACAATAATTACTTTACAGTGATCTATCAATGTGAATATCTTCGTTCGAGAAAAGGTCAGCTACTACCAAATAGCTAAGTGGTTAAGTATTTATGACACAATGACACAAGTTTGGATCTCATCAAGCGCACTAGCATTTTAAGTTTAGAAACCTATATCTAGGGTTTCCTATCGATTGCGTTCAACTACCTAATATCCTTAAGATGATGTCATATTACTTAAATTTATTATGATAATACAGTTAAATTTTTAAAGATGAAGTAAATCACAAATATTGAATTCTATTGCCTTAAAAACTTTTACCAAAAAAGATGTTTCGATATTACCTGATTTTTATTCAGTACGGTATATGCATCTCTTATTCGTCCATGGATCTCTGCTAGACGTCCATAATCATTACTTGATTGCAACAAAAGCACAAGGCGAGAATATAAACATGGAACTATTTCATAAAAGCCAGCTTTTGCAAATGATTCTGCTGTCCAGGATATTAGTGCCATAAATCCAGGCATTGTAAAATGCCAAGAAACATCTAAAGGCATAAGAGATGATAAATCTTGTAGAATTATCGGTGTAGAACAACTGAACTTATCGAATACACTTGTATTAGGAAAGCCGCACGCACAACTTTCTTCAAGTATATTTAAATTTTGTACAGCATCAGCAATATCTGCACATCCAGCTGATGATAGTCCAGATGGACTACAACCTCGATTAATCATATGTTCAGCGACAATAGCTGTACAATGTGCTAAGCACTGAGAAGCTTCAGCAAATTGAGAAAGCTATAAATGAATTCAGATTTAAGCAGTTATTAGAAAATAAAAAAAGCAAACTATTAAATTTAAATATTTTTTCCAAATGTACGCTAATTGATGGTTCATAATTGATTAGATGTAGAAATGGAAAATCGACCTAAGTTCCTACATTAAACTGGAAAACTACGAATAAGTAGTTACACATTCTAACTATTTGAGTCAATTTGTGCTTATCGATGTTATTTCACTTTTAATAGATTTCCATTAAATCAGTATTTAAACGGAATATCAATCAATTAACAACTAAGAGGGTAACCTGACACCTGTTTAGTTCGTCCATTTCGAAGGCCTACAATGCCACAGTCAGGAAATATGTGAACTGTAAGCTTGAGAAAGACCATTTTGTATTCATGCTTAAAAATAAATCGCAAAAAACAAGACTAAATTCACCTCCTAATTTCATAGCATCAAAACAAACAAAAACACAAAACATACTTCATAATGTTTCTCAGCAATTTGTAAAATCCAATACAATCGTAATTCCGGTGATGCACGGTTTCTATGTGATATAGAATGTAATAAATCAATCATTGAAAGTGTATCTTCATTCACTGTTTGTTTAAAACAATCATTCGATTGTTCCTGTTGTCGTTTATATACAACATGTATTGTATCTTGTAATCGTATAGCATCATTTAATAAATAATTTAAATTATCTATTAGTTGACTAATTTGTAAAGTAAAATTTGAATTGGGAATATTTGACATAAATGGTATTGTTGGCACTGTCATCGGTGTTGTAGTTATTCCAGAAACCGTATTATACCCATCGTCATTATTATTCAATGATAATGATGTTAAATTAAATGGTTCAATGTATCTTTCTGAATCAAACATTGTTTCGTCATAGTTACTGTTATCAATTAATTTAGTTGATAAGTTAGAATCTACGTCTGATAAGGTTAAATGTTTTAAATAATGTAATGAATCAGTTAAATATGCTTTCATTAACAAAGTAGACGATAATGTGAAATGAATATTTTCAGTATTCATTTTATTATTCAAATGTTTATTCATTAGTGAATTATTTGATATGATCATTCCACTATTAATTAACTTTGTAAAAAATGAATTAAATGTTAAATAAAGATGTACTTTGACAAAAGATAGATTCTATTGTTTGAGTAAAGAAGGAAAAAAACATGAGAAAGAGTTATGAAATAAACAACTAAATAATGTGGGCCATATTTTAAACAGTTTAATAAAGTATTGAAAATGTTAGTTGAACAATCATAGAGAGAATATTTCTGCAAATTATGAGCTAATCCTATATTATAATTTTACATATATTAACTAAACTTTGCATTCGATCAAAGTAAACAGAATATGGATTCAAAGAAATTGGTTAGGGAAAGTAATTAAGCTGTAGGAAAATGGTTGATTTTTATGATTGCTCATTTTAGTGATGCGTTTTAACACGATAATGAGTCACTCTTGCTTGAGGTTAAGTAAACAACACAAGCGGGTTACCTGTTTCTATTCCTCGAGTATTCATCTTAAAACTCAACTGTTAGTTTTACAGGATATATTAATTCACATAAAGTTTAATGGAAAATCCAGAAGGTTGATAAGATACAATCAATAAATGTACTTCCAATACTTTTTAATAAATCTAATAGGTAGAATTTATGTTTATTCGCTAACCATCTATTGAGATCGAATCAAATAACTAGATATTATTTATCTAACATTTTTCACTATTTAATAAAAATCATTTTCTTCAATGAACTTTCCACAATAGAGCTTATTTATTGACTAGTTCAATATATTAAATGAAAGATTTGTTAAATTTAACTTTGTGGAATTATTGTGAATAATAGCAGTACAATTAAAGTTATTGATATAATTTGTTGGCAGTTTTCCATTCTGTCTTTTCAAATCGTATTCTGAAGGTTTAGTATTTCTCTTGAATAATACCACAAGATTGTTTTCATCTCTTTTGTTATTATCATGTCTTCATGCTAACCAAATACGGGCACTTTCGCCACCGTATATCTATACTCTACTCTATGTTTGTCTGTCATGCTCTTATTACAGATAACCAATTAAATCATAATGAGTGATTCTCATATTATTGACATAAACTACAAGTTCGGTGATTATAAGTTGCCAGAAGCTATGTAGTCTGAATCGTTCAGTAGTAAGCACTCACACTGTGATATACGTTCTAATCATCTAGGGAGCATTAGCTTGTTCAAGATTCCACGTATATCATAGTGATAACTGCTAACTAGCACGAAACCTGAGTTCAAGATCTGTCGACTAGCTTCAACGACCTAATACCAAACCTTAGTGAAGAAATTGAGTCACTTAGATCATTTGCCTAATTGAAACTTGGTAGATAGAGTTGAGTCAGCACTAAGAACTAAACACATATGACAATGGTAACTATTCAGTGATTAGTCAATGTACAAGCATAATATCCAGTATATAAGATGGTATATAAATTGAGAAAAGAATATTCGGATAAATACCAAACGATTAGAAGTGCTTAACTCATTTTTTACGATGCATCAGTTCACTAAACAACGCTACTGCTATTTATACTTTTAAGTTGAAAAAATTGATGTTAATGTCAATGAGAATGTTTTGTACTAATGAAAATGAACAAATCTTCATGCTATTATACATGAATAGTTCGTTCAAATGTTTACGGCAGTAACTATAATTAATGGGAAATTTAGGATTGTTAACCAAAAATTCATGAAATGTAAGCACCCACAAGCTTCAGTTCAGGTGTTAGGAAGAATGTGGTCGAAAGCACTGTCATAAAATATCAAGCCGGAGAAAACGTCTATTACCAATAAGTTATGAATATGATAACACATTATGGCATAATTATTCAAACAATATTACCGAAATTCAAAAGTAACCACGTACTTTAGTTAGTGTATAATAATTTTTTATTAAAAAATATAATGTATCTACAGCATCGTCGCGAACAGTTGTTTCTTTCATTGTACATAACCGTAATAAATGATGACATGAAACAGAACAAAATTCCGGATTATCTTCAAATAAGAAGCTAGGGAACTGGAAATAAATTTTGAAAGAAATCAACATCAACAAGAATTAAATGTGAATTTACTGGAAAATACGACAATGAGAAAGGAAAATTATTTTCGAAATCTACATTGAACATAGTGATGAGGGATAAAACGTTCTTAAGAAAAGAATTCGAGGAAATATGTACTCTCGAATTGAGACTAATTTCAGATCGATTGATCAAATAATTCAGTTATTATATGCGAACGGGACGATTGGATTATAGAGGTACAAAGCGAACATATATTAATTACTTTAAAAATGTTAAAATAACTTACACGTGATATGATACGTTTCAAGGAAAGCAGAATGCGTTGATAACTCACTGAGCTTTGATTTAAACCAAGTACATATAAAATAATACGAATAATACAACTGATAAGACATTGGCTTGTAGAGGTATTGTTTTCATTATTAATCGAACTCGATTTCTTGTAAGGTAGAATGCAATTAAGTGGATAATTATAAAGTGTGAATAAACTTAAGCCAGGTTGGCCAAGTGCCGTGTCCGCTTGCCATAATCCCTGAAAGAAATATAAGTGCGAATATTCGCTAAATCACACTATTCAAATAATTAAATATTCAATAAAAAATCATCACTAATGTGATACATTTTCGAACACACGTTATTTACTGAAGGGAAACAATCAAAACTATTAAAATCTCTACGATATCTATAATTAAACATGAATAACTAAATACTACGGTATACAACCATCTATGATGGCTAGAGGGATCAAGAGAGTTCAATATCCACTTAGGCATCTTTCAATCAAGATATCAAGCTGATTTATTCAGAATTGCTTTTAAAAATGAACCTGGTTTAAAATTCTAATCCTATTATGTAACACTGTGAAACAAAGAATAAATTTATTGAGTTATTATCCGATGACAAATCCGTTGAAGTTTTGAGAAAAACTCCAAGACAATAGGAATCGAGAAATCAATCTAAAACTTATCATTGTAGGGCTGTAGAGTAATGTTTAAGCGTTTGACTTTTAGCTGCAAAGTCGAAGGTTTGAACCCTGCTCGATCTGCTTCAATTTGAGAAACCATGTGATATCAACAGATCGTAGCCAATCTGTATCTGGTAAATGAGCTAAATAAACAAATAACATTACAAAATGTATTAGCGCCAGCCTTAGGAATCTATAAATTTGTCAAATAATGTTCAGATATTTTTATTTTCTTGCATTAAATGTCTACTTCAAATAAATTTGTATTGAATATAAAATGGGATTAATGAACCACAAGCACAACTTGAATTTAAGTGTATAATATCTTTTTTAAGTACTAAACACTAATGACATAAATACTTCACATAAATTTTATAATTATTCTTTTGATTGTCTTAAAACAGGTAAGCACTGACAATGAATCTAATTTGCTTTTGATGAGAAAAAGGTATGAAGCTTAAAATGTACTAAATACGATACATCATATAAAACCCATAATGAATATATTTTCATCACTCTGGTAAGATGAAATTTACCAAATCATTCAACAATGTTTAAACATACTTCTATTGTAGCATCCAACGAATTGCACAAGACCATAACAACATCATTACAAACCAAAATACTTCGTAGAACATTTAAATCTTGATTTGAGCTAAACAAATCTGTATCATTTGAATATGATCCCAGTGAAAAACTGTTAGATCTTGTAAATTTAGTCTTGAGTTTTAGTAAAGTTGGACGAGAATGATATTGTTGACTTGAGGAAGTGTTGTTATTTTGATGAACATAAGGACTTGACAAAGTACAATCAACTGATGGAGATTTCAACTTGATAAGTGAATCATGGGGTGATTTTTTAAGGGATCGAACAATAGAATTATGATCTGTAAAGTAAAACAAAGGTTAGATTACACTAGAGTAAACTATAAATTAGATTCTTGGAAAAGAGTCACACTATAAGTATGAGGGTGAATGATACTACCTGGATGACCAGATTGAAGTAGGTGTTGTGCAGTTTAAACCTGGACGTTATGGATGAATCCCTTAACCACTAAGCAACCGTTCCAGAGGTTATATATAATATATAATATATATATTGCACGAATTATAAAAAAGTGAAACATAAGAATAATCTTTAGCATAGTGATGAAGATTGAATCTTTTTCAAAATATTTCTGACTTGTTATTAGTTGTAAAGATGTATTTGAACAATGAGCCTTGGATTTTATGTTGTAAAGTTTGGAATTTATTTGACGTTTTCAAAAATAATGGCTAACATATCTTTTTTATGAATTCGATATTTATTCAATAGGATTTTGAGATATATCTGACAAGTCAAACGAAATGTTAACCTGATCTAGGTCTGGCTTCTTTTAGTGCATGAGTGATCTACAGAAGTTGTGTAACTTGGTCGCTTATATTTTGAATGAATCCTGTTCATGTTTATTTTTGTCGATTTTCAATATATTATCATGTTTATTCACGGACTAAAAAGCCATTGTCTGCTGACATTAAATAGCCATTCACAAATGATGCTAATTTAGTATCTAAAGTGGTTACCAGTTATTGCACAAGTTTCTATCAATCAGCATTGTGTAATATTATTTAAACGACTAAGATGTACGTGTATCAAATTAAAAAGCCTTTCTTTTGGTAAATTTTACCATACAGACATTGTGTACTAAAAATTACATTACATGATCCACAGCGATAGACTGTATAATTAACACTAACGTTAAGTGGCAATAAATCTATAATTTGATAAAATGTATTTGTAAGTACAAAGTTTTTGATTGAAATATGAAAATACTACTGAAGATCAGGAATTATTGAAACTTTGTCTCATGTTTTCAATCAATTAATTCTAGATGATTTGTGTTCCTCATCATATTTTGTCTTAGTATTCATCTTATAATAAAAAAACGACAGACAATGATACCGATAAACTAATGTTGCTTCAAGTATATTAAGTGACCAGTTTAATTTTGCAACATAATTTTGAATACGTTTGTGATAGTTTACCTAACGTTGTGGATAATAAATAATTATGTCTAGTACTTAATGCGAGGAGAATTTTGTCGACTAATTTTAAATGTACATCAGGTGATCTGATAATGTGGAGAATGTTTTGTTCAATGTTAGTCACATGGTTGGAGGTAATCTGCAAAATGTTCTAAACTTACGTTTCATGCTAGTTGATACTCATCAAGAAAGTATATTTACAGTCTTTTAGGAGAGCAATACCTCTTGTGATGTTTGAGTTAGTGTTTCATTCAGAGATTGAAATAATTAGAACATACAAAACTCCACTATCTGTTTTAGGTAAAATATTGAGTGATGCATTAAAATCGGCTTTTATTAGGTCATATATAGACAACTGTTTGTATAAAGTTAAGTAAAGACCGATAACTACAAAATATTTGTATATACAGGTATTTAAAAAATTATTTCATTTCAAATTAATGGTATATATATTTTCAAAAACATACCATTTGATGAAGTATTTTGATCCACGATATTTCGTGATTCATTCTTAATTACTTGATAATCTGAATGATTTCTACTACCTCTTAGAGGGTAACTATCTTTAAGGGGTAAATCATCTTCGGAAATCTATTAATTAATATGATACAAAAATAAAAGTTAATGATTAATCAGATTGTCATGTGGTCGATAACGATAACCGAACAATCCATAATTTAGAAATGATAGATTGCACACTGATATTTGCATATTCATGTGAATTAATTATATTTTAGGAATATAAGTAACAAAAGAAATCATTAATTGTCTTTAAATATCAATTTTCATAAGGTAAAAAGCCATATGTCAGTAGCTTTAAGTTCAATAAGAATTCTAGAACAAGATTAAGAGATTTAAAACCATGTCGCCAGTGAATTCAAAGCTTGTCTCTATAGTCTTACTTCAACTAGAAATCTACAACATTTTTTCACTAGGATACACCTACAGTCAGTATTCTCCAGAAAAAATTGTTGTATGCACTGTAATTAAGGATGAAAATATGTTACATAATTGTTGCCTCCCATATACAATAGAGTTGAATGCACTTGGAACGTTTATGGAAAAATGGAGTGAATAGTGTAAGTAATGAAGGATTTCAACAAATCTCTTTAACTATATAAGTTAAAAGCATATGAAATTACATCACTATCAGTTCTCCAAATGATTCTCAAAGCTGTAACCTTTATACAGACGAAATGCAATTCTTTTTAAGACTTATTTTCTTAGGACTATGACAGATTAATAATAATTTATTTGGGAACCAAGGACAAAATGATAAATGATATTTGTATTTTTAACTTGACGTACATGCTTATTCCAATGATCATTTATATGCTAATACACTTAATTGTTAACTAATATTTTGTAGTTAGTATCATGGACGGGCTGTAGGCAGTCAATGAAAATCAGGAAGCATTGCGCAGTTGTTTCACTCTGGTATGGGACTACTCAAATGTGCGTACTCACAAACTTCACAGGGATCAAACTCAGTACTTTCAGGGCTCTAAGTGAGCCATTAACCCTCAGACAATCAATTCAGGATCCAAAACTTCACGTTTTTGTGTTCGGACAACCTGTCATATTGCGTGACCATTAACTGTTGCTAACGGTAGGCAATTGTTTCACTCTTAACGTTGTTAAACTTCATTGATATGGGTCTATCACTAGGACTCCGAGAGTTCGGCTTAGAAATGAAACACTGGTGGCTAAATGATTATTACTAGTATAGAGTGTTTCGTAAGGATTGTCAAATCATATAGTTTATATCACGGACTTACCGTAGCTAGACAACCACTCAGAATCAGGAACCACCAAGCAGCTATTTTTTTAAGCTTACGGGGTCAAGATAAATAACACTAAAAACCATATCGTATTAATGGACTTAAAATAAATGTATACAAGACTACTAATAAGAAGACATTAACAAAAAATCACTGAAATATATACTGTTTTATCATACGTGAGTTTCGAAAACATCTACAATTAAGAAAATCAATAACAAAAGCTGATTCCGCTCTTTAGTGCTAGCTTGTTTAAGCCATTCATGATAAAGTGAATCGGGAATATATTTAAGGATCCAAACATTAATTAACAATAATCGTTTCATTGTACTATATTTCATAGGTTTAGTAGAATCCAATTGGGTATTCAATATAAGGTTCACATCTGAATCTTCATTAGGTAGTGGAGAACGAGGTTTTTCAGGTTCTTTAGTATTCAAGTTCCCGACCAATACAGATTCCAAGAATTTAGTAGGTTTTGCATATCGCCTTATCTAAAAGTTTATTGATGATAAGATTACGAAAGAATATTTTAGTATGAATGAAAGGACGGTTTAATTGTAATTTATTAATAAATATTGAAGAAATGCGTGGCAGAAATATGGTCAATAGTATTTGTCAAAGTGCATCCAAGCGTAACTGTACATAGTCTTTATAACCTCTTGAGTAGACAAGTTGACAACTTTTACAGAGTAAATAAGACGCACGACTTTGGAATTTAAAATCAGCAGCGACCAAAGTTATTATCAACAAATAAGTTCAATGAATTATCTTTTATATTCAGTCAACCATCAATGATCCTCTCAAAGAAAGCCATGGTTCAATTCATCAAACAAGTTATTAGTGCGGGGTAAAACTAAGTGATAAATATGCTACATAACAAAGTGACCATAATAAACGAATGTCACACATTCAGTTTCGAAAACAATGATTCATTTAGAAGTGCGTTTTGACATGCCAATCATACTTATTTGGTAGAATATTCATCAGAAATTTAACCATTTGACAGTAGTTTGTTGAAAGAATCTCCAGACAATAAACATAACAAATAATACTATTAACAAGCGTCATATATGGACTTGAAGTTGAATCCGGAATTGTGTAAAATTAATCTTTGAGTAAAAATGATTGCAAACTGATGATTTATGGTTTTTCGGCTTAGAAAGTTAGCTACTTACGAGTAGTAAAGTGTTGTATGAAAAAATATAGTAGGAGGAACTGAGTAGAAACGAAGCTTGAGTTAAATATTACTCCTTTAGCTACTAAAATATAGATTTTTTCAAAACAAATTTACATTTGTTAGCTTAAAATGACTTGCTAGACAAAACTAAAATATAGTACTAAGTACTGAATTATTTCTTTATATTTTTACACCATCAGAGAGGCGATGAATGTTGTTTAGTTTCTGAAAAAGGATACAAAATTCAAGACTGAATTTTAAAAGAAGCTTGAATCATGGAAAAGTATTAACGATTAAGATTTTACTTCTACTTAAATCGTCACTAATTTATCGATAAATGTGTACTCTGAAAAACTATATCCAAGATTGTTCAGTTACTAAATAGAGCATATTAGAATGATTCTGCTTTCCATTCACATGGTAAAAACTTAAACATCACAAGGGATTTAGAGGTGTTTGATTTCTGAGGTATTTATTTACCAGCTCAGAGAACACTTTATCATAAAATACTTTCTAATTGTAAAGAGTAACGGTAATTAAGATGATTGTGTGGGGAAGTTACATTAATTGAACGTTATGACTATCATAAAATGTGTACGAATATCCTGAGAGGACAAACAAAATGTAAGAGACAATATATAAAAGAACGAAATTGTAGACGATATGCAAGTGATACATAAATCCATGCCTTTGGATAATAGGAATCATAATCTGAAAACGTGTATGGTAGTAATGAAAATAATAAAAGACTATCTGAACACTGAGTGATATAATTAGAAAGTGGGTTGAAAATGGATTTAGAATTACACATAGAAAACACTCGAACGAGCAAGATAATCAATCGATAAACATACCCGTCTCATTCTTCCGGAAGCTCGAACTGTTGAACAAGAATCATTTGATGAATTAGGAACCACTTTATCTGCTGTTGTAGCATATGTAAATTGTTGTTTAGGTTTGAGAAATTCAGTCTCAGCAGAACGGTTTGATCGAAATTGGTTTAAATGCCATGTTTTAACAAGACATGGCAAAGAATCACACGTAATATTAAGTATTGGGGAATAAAAGTAAGTGAGTTGAGATAGGTTGGAAATCGATTGAGATGAAAAATCTTTTTCTGATGTCACTTTTTCTAAATCCAATTCATTATTTAATAGAATATTCCAAAGAACATCAACTCCACGTCTTTGCAGGTCAGAGTCCCTGTTAAAAGGGGAAACATAAGAGAGGAATCTAAATAGTCAGTTAATTTACAAGTTCAAAGTTAAATATTTACCTAATGCTTGAGATATAAACTTCATAGGTTGATAAAACATAAAAAAACCATGCAACTAACTAGTCCTACTTTACAATAATTTGAATACATTTTTTTTAATTAAGTGATTTAATAAATTACTTTGATTACCATAATAGAATTGAAGGAGTAAAAGGAAATTGAAAATAAAGTTCCCAATATTCCAGGATAATGAAACTAAGACCATCAAAATTATGAGGAATGAAATAAATTCACTAGCATATCAACAAATAATATCAAGATGAAAAACTAATTTGAATACAGTCATTTATAGATGGTATAGATATGAATATACTACTCGTTATTCATTTACTCTGAGTTGTGAAGAACAAAATTACCAATATAAAAGTAGAAATGAAAATTTTGGACACGTAACTGTTTTATCAATGTTTTTTCAATAAAATACACCAATGATGATAATATTCTATTCGTTTACGCTTTTAAACGGTAATTAGACTGGGAAAGATTTAGCAAGTTCAGCGCCCAACATATTCACGTTTAGTAGATAATTAGTATAAGATAAAACTGATCTAACTAAATGAGTCTATGGAATATTTCGCATTTTCCTGATGAGTTTATTTTCTTGATTAATAAAATTTTCATGATAAACGGTTGATAAAAACTAATATAATCAACAATTGAGTATCAAAAAAATACCGGTACTTTATATCGCTGACTGAATTTATCCAGACATTCATTAGAAATCGAGATGCTATGAACGGCTGTTTAATCCTAATACGGGACTTCTGATAAATGAACACTAATGACCACACCAGGGATTGAACCAAAATACTTTGGGCTTAGATGTGAACATGTTAACGTTAGGCCAATACAGTGAGGCCTAATTATCAACATTTCTAAATGCAAACAATTCACCATACACTATACCAATAGTTCATTAAGTACACTTTTGAAGCGTCCTACACTAGAACGAAACTCCTAAACAGTGTCCCTTGATTCTTAAGCTAACTTTGGTCAGTGATGTGAAATGTAAACAGAACAAACCTTCTATGCTAAAATACCAGAATAGTTTCCAAGATATTAATGTAGAAATCTTATTTTTCTATATGATACCTCATTGTACATTGGACTGTAGTTTTTTTATCTAAGTACATTTTCTGATTTCAGGCTTACTAGAATCAAGTGAATGAAAACTATTGATCCCTTATTCATTCTGATATTTCTCAAGTGATTATTTAAAGTGAATAAAGCCACTCTTATTTCGTATACAAATAGATTCGTATGAGCAAATTCCAATTATTCAATTCAGAAGGGTTTAGGTGAAAATTTTTTAAAATAACAATAAAAAAAAAACGAAAACTTGTCGAACTGTAACTTACTCAGATCTTAAAGCTGTGATCAATTCACAAATAACTAGTGAAATAAGAAAATGTCTATTGAAGACATTCACATTATTTATGTTTAAACTTTTTGCATGATAATCATCAGTGTGACAATGATGATGATTATCTTCAGTTCCATAGAATTCTGGTTCAATAGTAGCTAATGGAATATAATTCGACTTTATATAAGGCTTTGTTTGATGATTATTTTTGCATAAGGATAATTGCTTATAACTTTGAAGTAATCGTTCACAATTCACTGGTAATAAATTATTGAAATTAACATTGTCATTATTACAATCATTCAACAGGTAAAATGCTTTATGTGAACAAATTATTTGTAATAAATCTAATTTGAAATAATTTAATAATTTATCACTTGAAATTTGATTTAATTCTGCATCCGAGAGTAGTTGATCAATCTGTATTGGTGATAAAGATAAAGGCAAATACACATTATTAGTATAGGGTTGTGGAGATTGTTGAGTTTCGATTTATATCATGAATCGATCAATGCTAGACCACCATTGAAAACCTGTAAGCACAGAACGGCCGTTTCGTCATAGTACGGAATTCCTCAACAGTGCTCATCCACGATCTCGTACGCGAGACCGAAGGTTCTGGTTCTTGATGACCTTGTTACCTATCATTACAAGAAGGATGACACTAACTTAGGAAAAACAATTAGGGGAGATAAGTAAATGTTACACTTTGTAACATAAACCTATGATATATGAACACAAATGATTGATAAGAGTAGAAGATTTGATATTGCACGACGTTAAGAAGATGGAAAGACAAGTAGATAGCAGTAAATTATGTTAAATATACCAAGACGACTACGAAAGTAACATAATGAAATGGAGAAGCATGTGTTCGCACTGACGCTTTCATCACATGATCAATATTAAATTACAGAATTCTTCACATACTTCTAATAATCCGATAACAGTTTAAATAAAGCACCTACACATCTGAAAGTTGTTCTGACAACATTCAAATAAGAATAGCAACAGAAAATGAAATTTGTGAAATTTTGAACCTTTTAACAACACAACAAATTGCTAACATGGACCACAACTGTTTCAACCCTACCATAATTAACGATTCACATGTATACATATTATTATTACTATTATTATCATTACTATTAGTGGTAGTACTATTATTATTGTGCTTTGGATTATTTTCAATCCATTTCAAGTATGAAATGAAAAGTGCATAAATTGTAGAAAATTCTATTTCCTAAGTTTAAGGCAATAATAATCATAATTTGTTACTAAACACAGAAATATTTAATCATTTATCAATAAACTTTAAATGAATTCCAAACCCACTCACTTTATTCCAATAATTTTTTATTTCAGAAAAAATATACTCGATAGGTAGAAATGAGAAAAGATCGTAAAGGAAAAATGAGAATATTTGATTGTTTAGTCGATGAGATTCCCACTGAGTTGAATCTGCTAAAACAAAAATAAAATGGCAAAAAGAAATAGAATTTGTAAACAATTCAAAAATTTGTGTATTAAGTCTTAGTTTATGTAATTGACCATGAAGTAACATATTTTGTTGCCTGAGAAGTAGTGATAATACCGATTTGCCTAAAACGAGTTAAGTTGAATGGAGTTTCGGTTTGTAATTTAATGGTTAAAAGTAGAGTACTTTGAACACTAAACCATTGCTTCGTCACTAACAAATATGGCATAAAATTAAAGGAAATAGAAATGACCAAAACTTAAAACGACTCTACAAATATGTAAATTCCAAACTAATGAAACTAATGTCTAATCTGTTTGTTAATATTCCTTTTCTGAATAATCATGAATACCATCAGAACATTACTGCAAGCATCTTACTTAACTTATTAGAAATTTGTGTTCATTCAAACAAACAAAACGGAAGGAAAGTGATCAAACAGTAGAACCATCTAGGATAAAAATTTAATTTCAATACATTGATTACAACTACTGTCGAAATATATTTTATGAAAAACAATTAATTTAATGGAATAATAGTTAATTTGTTACTTATAATAACTAAACACTTTAAGGACTTTTAGCCATGTTGCAAAATCAAAGTGTGCCGCAATAAAAATAGTTTTAAAGGAATGTTAAAATACTTAATCATTAAATAAGAATGAAAAAGCAGAATCAATAGAATGAAATGTGAACTTCAGATTCCATTGCTCACCACCATATAAATCATTGTATTTTCATAGTCTTTCTTATTTATTTATTTACATATATAAAAATTGGTAAAAGGAGGTACGATATAGATATGCGCCACATAAATCATTCGATTTGTGTGAGGACTAAGATATTGTCCGGGTGTTCAAACCCAAGTAGATGGTTTTATTAGGGAGCCACATCCCGAGCCTTTGACCTAATCCACAAGGCAATGGAGCAATGTTAGAAGGTGCAGTCCCATGGTAGTCGGCGACCAACAATAGGTCTATGCGTCATTTGTTTCCTTAGGATACTGGAGCCCATGTGCATGATTGATTTGGAATCAGGATTTCCTAACTCCCCTAGGTGGATCCTTCGTATCCACCGACCCGGGAAAGCGCCGGATATTCGCTTTTCGTTCTCTCAGTTTCGTCAACAACATCTACACCGCCAGGAAGTAGTGAATAGATTTTCAGTGGTAGTGATTTTATTTTTCGTGGCCATATGAGGGCATTTTGAGAAAGAGAGAGGACTATCCTCACTCTTTGCCAACCAAGGCATTTGAGGGTAAGCGGTGTACGCCAGCCGGGAATCAAACCCGGACTGCCCGCATGGCAGGCGAGCATTCTAACTCTAAACCACCGACGTCCCTTTAGTTCTTGACCCTTTTAGTAAAGATGTCATGACAATAATTGTGATTTTATAATGATCAGCGTTAGAAATGGTATATTGTATATTAATATTAACACAAGGTGATGCTTTTCCAATTCTATAAATTAACCTCAGTCTACCCTTAGATAACGATATCAAATGGATGGTAAGTATCGTCTATTATAAATAAACGGCTAAATAAATAACAATGTGATGTCTAAAACGATGTTTGTTAGTTAAAATCATTTTCAAAACACCGCATATTTATCAGATAGTTTTTAAATGAGATTAAACGTTTTCATATAGACCACTCTACAGAATATTTAAGAGAATCGACTTCTAAAAGAAGCAATTCATAGTGATAGTATATTATTAAACTTACCATCCGAAATTTTAGTATATTGACTACAAACATATCGAATCATATATTCTGTTAGGCATGTATTAAATGAACTTAAATCTTCCAAAAAACAAGGGTTTTCATATAGTGGTAAAATGATGTTCGGTTCATTAGCTTCTATTGTCAAGTGCCAATCTTGTGCTAATAAATGAATCTGAAATTAACAGATAATAAGTAATATGTTTATTTTACATAAAAATAAAGTATAGAAAATATAAATTACATTATTCAGAAGCTTATTCATATATCTACTTGACTGAGAAAATTGACACCTCATAGAAAAACAAATCAATCTGGTAGATTAGGGAATATACTTTTAAGGACATAGTAGGTTTTACAAGGTCAACCATTCCTTTTCCAGAGGTCATCAAAAGTTTTTAAATAAATTAATTTATAGCTTTATCATCGGAGTGTTTGCATAATGAATTGTGTGTATGAACTACCAGCATAGGTGAAAAATAATTTACACTATATCCTAATTGTATTTTTCACTTTATCGATCAACTCTATTCAGATGGAAAGCATCCTGAAACAGAATACTATACACTAGTAAACTATACATCCAAGCACCTACATTTATATTTACCGCTTCTTTTAATCAATTCGAACGAGGAGAAGAACACACATGTAAAGACAAAATAAATTGAAAACAAGTGTGTAATAATTACCCAATCGGGAATCAAACACAGCATTTTATAATTGAAATGAATTTTTTGAAGAAAACGTTAGTTATTGGTTGAGATTTGTAATTCAACTGAACTAGTTTTCAAAATATTAAATCAATGGTACAACTAATTGTTAATATAATAGTTTGTGGACATTTAACTGATTTACGTTTAGCCTCATTGTGAAACAGCGAAGTGAGTAAATTTTGCAGATAGAGAAATTATGAAATATTTGTTTTGTTATAGTTTAAGATTTCTTGGTAAGGTTAAGTTATAACCTTTAAAGCGTTTTACTTTGGAGTTACTGAATTTAAATACAACGATGACTTTTTCCAAGTCTAATTGTAAGATACAGTGTGATTATTATCTAACATGATTAGTCGAATTCTAATATATAACTTAAGAACAGAATACAAGTACATCAGACTAAGAACAAAACGTACCAGGTGCAAGACGGGGATAGTACTTGATAATTCAAACCAAAAAAGGTAAAACAGATTATAGACATGTGGTTAATCGACTAAAGATCTAATGCTTAAAACCAAAAGGATTAAAAAACTAAATCATTATTCAATAAAAGTGGTTTTAAGAACTTTAGTTAAGGTGATTTGAGATACCGCTACTGTCTGATAACAAATGAAAGAAATATCGACAATAGACGCTATTATGCGCTAATCTAAGATATATTAGTGAACTGTTATATAGTCCAGCTGACATGTCCAATGACAATAGGGAACGTTTTACAACATAAACCTACTCTAATTAGTATATCTGTGTAATGAATAAGGGAATTTATAACTAGATTAACAAGCTTTATATCAATCATAGAGATGCAGAAAAATAACAAATGCGCAATGCTAAAACAACTTCACGAACATTTTTGTGACAATTTAATGATGCATACTTGATCTTACAGTTTTACTTTATTTGAACACATAAATATTGGTACAAGAGGGCACCAAATATATATGCGCCACACCATATTTGTGTGTGGGCTGTGATACTACTCGGGTGCCCAGACCGAAGCAGATGGTTTTCTTAGGGGGCCACACCCCGAGCCTTTGACCTAAAGGTCTAACCCACAAAGCAGTGGAGCATCGTGAGGAGATGTAGTCCCATGGTAGCCGGTGACCAAAAATTGGTTCATACGCCATTTGTGCACCATTGGTTTGGGATACGGTTAAAGCGCCGGACATTCGCTTTTCGTCCTCTCATTTTCGTAAACAACACCTCCGCCACAAGAAGGCAGTGAGTAGGACTTCCTTGGCAGAGGCTGTGTACGCGTGGCCGTGTGAGAGCATTTCGAGTGGGAGGGCGAGCCCACCCCACTCTCGGCCATACCAGGGCATTTGGGGGCCTGATCTGATCTTACAACCACCTCAATGAACTCTTCTAATGAGTAAAAAAAGATACACAGTGGACAAATATAGGTTAATTTTTTTCATAATCAATGTTTGTTAAAAAATTACACGTTTTCAAGCAGATAACTGAGTTACAATGAATAGTAATTTAAACAACTTAATGAAATAAAAATGTAAAATGTTTTTACATCGTTTCAGATGCAGTTAGATATAAAACAAAATGAGCAAACCTAGTTACTTATAGTTTGCACAAAATGTATCGCTGCCAATATTACGATTATTATTTGAATTTCAAAAAATATAATTTTATTATACAAAATTATTTTGAGAAAATTCTAAAACAAAAATGAATTTTTACAACCCTAATTCATGAAAAGTCAAAAGAAAAATAATCCGATAAATTCTATTTGATCCGACATGGTTACCTTAACCGATTAACTAATGAAAAAACACATTCAATATGACTTACAAATAATTCCAAAAGAAACCATAATGAAGGGAAAAAAGTTTGACTACTTTGAGAATCATTGAGTTTAGTTCTGAATAGATAGATTTTTATAAGTTCAGTTAAAATGATCTGTTAACAAAATGAAAAAAAAATAATTAAATTTATTTAAAACTGAGAAATTTATTAATAACAGTCATGAACAAATAGATGTGAAAAATAAAACTTCTAGTTGATGATTCAAGTCAGAAATGTTATGTTTAAATGGTTTAATCTTGGTAGTATTAAATATTTGTCATACTGTTGTTTTATCATTTAGTCTTTTGAATTATCAGAATACGAATGGCTGACCTTTGGTTTAATTCTCTTTTTAATAAGAACGAAATGACAGTTCAATATTCGGTCTACTAATGCACCGCTACTACTTACGCTGACAGATATAAGTAGTATTTACAAGCAATCTGAAGTGGAACGCCTGCAAGCATAAAATTAAATTGAAGAGAACAGGAAGAGGAACAGAGAGCAATAAGAATAAATACAGAATTGGAAGAATCATGAAGTATGTAAAGTACAATCGAAGGAAAATGTGCAAATAATGTATTTAATATATGATTTTCGCATTTTACCAGGGCGCTGTGTAATTTTGCATGAAATAATGAATTGGCGTTGCCCACTAAGCGTTCGTTCACTACACTACTTCAGATAGTCGTGCAAATGTGTTGTGCAACTCAGCTACATAATAAATTCATAAGAAATCAGTAAATTTCATCGGTCAACCTTCATTTTAGACAATTCCTGAAGAGTCAACTTATAAAGTATGAAAGAAGTAAGTCAGTAAAAGTGTTAAACTATTTACACTTTACATAGTTCACTTTCAAGTCCTAATGTAGAATAACCCGTCAGTGGTATATTGATTCTTAGAGACATTTAGATTGTATGAATTACTAATCACTTTATATTCTTTGAAACAGAAGGATATATTCATTATCTTCAATAAATATATTTTTCTGAAATAGTTATCGCTATTAAAAATATTTAGAGATCAGTTTACATAGTCCCAAATGATTTTGACACTAAGCTACAGGAAACAATGGCATTACGGTGTAAGTTCTAATCCCTTTTATTAAGAAAAGAGGCTTACAAAGAAAAAATTAATCATAAGTTGATTAACATATATATAAGACTAAATTACTGTAAAGTTTAAAGCACAATATTTGAAGTGTGTAGTGTTATAGTAAAGATCATCTATAAAATATAGGTATTAATTTTCCTAGAAAAGGTTTAATGAGAAAAATGAAAATGAAGAATATTTCAGTTGTTAAAATGCTGTCAATCATCGGGGAACATAAGTATAAAACAACGTTGAAAAAAAGAGTAAAAGCAGTAACAATAATAATCTGAGATTTTTACATCATTTTTACATACATATATTTCTACCTTAAAATATTTAAAATCACTAATACTACTATTGTTACCGAACATCTAACAAAACAGGAATTTTAGTGATACGTTATTTGAGTTAAAATGGTTCAGTTGAAGAAACTTTCATTATCATTTCGTAGAGAATAATAGGGTCCCGAATTAAGTGAAAATTTTGATAATTATTAATGGAGGGTTAAGTCAACCCGTTCTGATGACTTGGTGATTGATTGTTATTATGTGCTATGTCATTCGTACAATATTTTGTTTTCAATTGTTCACTGAACATATGACTGATCGATATTTCCTGTACAAAGATATGAATAAAATCTAAAGCCAATATGTATTGCTAGTAAAATGACTAGAGTGTCACAATGTCAAGCAATAGAACACAGATAAAAACATCCAACTAAGCTCTAAATCTCATTAATGGCATTTTTGACTCTATTACTACTTAAATTCTTAAAATTTACAATTTTACAGACACGTAGATTAAAATTCAATGCAAAAAATGTATCAATCAAAAAAATTATCGTTGATGTATGAATTACAACTAAAAGATCTATGATAGATATATGGTTTAGTTGGGGATTAATCAATAAAATTAGTCAGTTTGAGTGTTATTGATTATTTGGAAAATATCCTATTAGACAATACTTTTCCCAAGTAATTGAATGAATATATATTGCAAATTATACCTTCATCTCTTAATATGCATATCACACACTGCAATGGATTAATGCTTCAGTGAAATGCTAATAAACGTCCTAGACAACTTCATTTAATTGGTTTTTATATACACACTTAAGTTGAAGCATCGCAAGAAATAGGAGATTGATCAAAACAGATCATTGAATTTTTACAGAGGATTACCAATAAAAACATTTTTTTAGGGAATCGTAAACGTGCATTTTTCGCATTTCTGAATAAACGAAAATGTTAAGCTAGTGATCTTTGGCAAGTACTGCTTAAAACTCTGTGAGGAATGATACATTATACAAGACATTAGAAAGCTTATATGAATACGATAGTAATAATTCTAAAGATTTACACAGAGTTTAACTCGAAAGCGAAAAGTGGAAGCCTAGTGAACTGTTGTTTTTTGTCCTTAAAAAAAAACGAAAAATATTATCGCCATGGAAAAGTGACTAGTTTTTGATCGGCAAACAAGTGTTTTGTTTTTATTGGGTAATCAAGATTTGCATCACTGAATTCATTAATATAGATTAATGATTTTAAGGTATCGTTAACCTTTCCTTTGTTTTACGAGGATAATGACAAATAGTGAAAATTACTAATTTATATATATATTAAGGAAAAAGATAAGATATACATTGGCTAAAAGGCTTTTATCGATCTGTTCAGGATTTACCAAATCCGAAACTATCGGTACTCCAAATAACGGATGTCCAGAGAAGTAATGACCTAAAACTAAAAAAAAGAACACAAGGGAAAACTAAATAAAACTAGTTTTAATGAAATATTTCATTAGTGGTTTCCAAATGATTATCATTTTTAGAAATTATAATAATTCAATATTAAACTGTGTAGTATCTTCAGTATAATGACTCAGAGAACATGTAGGAGAATGTATATTAGTTAGTAAACTAAACTTTTGGTTATTCTATTCTCAAAAACATGTTTTAAAAAGCGATTTATTTATGTTTTCTTCATTAATTGTAAGTGAAATGATCAATATTTAATTTAGCTATAGAAATCCTGTAACATTGATTAGATTGACCATCTTCAACATACAAAAATATGTAAGTATTACTTTAATTACTTATTATTTCACAAATTTAACATGATATTTACCCAATTAACTAACCTGTTTCAATAGTTAAAAAGTGTGGGCCAGTTAAATATGAAACTAAAAGTTGGTTTCGTCCATGTCTATCATTTAAATGAGGAAAACTTCGTGTAATACGATTCAAAAATACAATGAGCAGTTCTAACGCGATTAGACTAGGTCTATTCATCTCCATACTACTATCATTATTATTCGATTTGGTACCATTCATCTTGATTGAAATCGTACTTATTATGCAATTAAATAACAATCGAAGAAAGCCATCGAGGAGTGGTACGAAAAATGCAGTTAACTGATGAAGACTTGTTTTATGAATATATGAGAATAGTTGACTGAAATGTTAAGTATTGTAGAGAAAAAGACAATTCACTTTAACCATGAAAAATGATTGAGTGTAAGCAAATTAATTCTACATAGAAATTTAGTTATATTTAATAAGGGAGTAATACGTTAAATTTATGAGTAGTGTCTAATGCCATATTAGTCCTTCAAAGATCCTGAAATTCTGTTGATCAGGTCGGGATAAAGATCACTAGTTCGGGTGACTCAACATAGCGTGCTGTTTTTCAAGATGTTTGGTGGCTGAAGGTAGTTGGGAGGAGACCATGAATCTAGGCTTTGTGCTAGTAACTGAGATAGTGAGGGGACTGATGTTCCCACGTTACTTACCTTCGGAGTGTGAGATTTTATCAGAGATATTCTGACAGAGATTATTTTCCGATCACCTGAAATAATTTCGCCTTTGTACGTATGTGATTAATCATAAACATTTTCTTCAGTGAGCTAAATAACCCATGGGTGTTTACGAATATATGTTAAATCATAACCTATCTGTGTAGACGTTTTAACAATTTCTATTCTGAATTTGCTACCACGATTAGTTGGGATAGTTGAATAGAAAGAAGACAGTAGTATTCATAAAATAAGAAACTTTAAATACATGAATGAACTGATTACTTTGACCTTTAAATAACATCTCCAAACCCTAATCTTCCCGATTACTGCTTATACTCTTACTACCTCTACCACTACGGGATTTGAATCGACAACTGCATCCCTGTGCTAATGTGGTATGGCAACTCGAACTGATGTACGTACGTACGAAGTTCTACGTTGTTACTGACTGACTGACTGATTACTTTGACATGCACAAAGAATTTTAACAGTAGAGAAGACACGGTACGTCATGAAAAAGCTTCAAAGTAAGGCAATGATTTTACGCCGTTTTATTATTGATGGCAGTATTTCTGACACCTACTGTTAATACTTATCCAAAGTCACAGAAATTCATTCGTTTTAAACTAAAGTACAAAACGATCTACAATAGAATTTAAGAAATATAAGCACTTTTCTATATTAAACTGTACATAAGTCATACTGATTGTTTATTAGGATCATTATTATTATTACATTGAAGTAGAATAAAGTATGTTTGAATAAATATGCTTAAAAAATGCGCTCCCGGGAGGCTCACGGTCAGCTAGGGGACTGACTCTATAATAACACTCAGATTAGCTGTGCGATCGGTGAAGCCACGAAAAAGAACAATCAGTGATCTTTGGAAAAATAACTACTTTTTATATTAGACTAATACAAATAACAATGGTTACGATCAAGTATATCAAATTACTCTGAAGAAGCGGCTTATACTAAGTTGTGAAACATTGGAAATTTAATTTTTCAACCGTTGAGATATTACAAAAATATCATTACATTTTTTATTAATTAAAATCAAAGGTGAATAGGTTACCGAACAGCAGATCGATTAGCAAAACTTTCAATGGTAGAATTGATTCGATTTATATGACAAGCCGATAAAAGACATTCTAATGAAGCATCTTGGATGTAAACGCTAGAAACAACAGTTGTAGAAACACTGAATAGTTCACGATGAGCATCAACCCATTTGCAAGCATCCATACAAAACTAAGGGACAAATAAAACGGTGATCAAAAGAGTATGAAGTGTAAGTTTCAATTTCATTAAAAAGTGTAACCTAATATATATGCATTCCTATGAAATATGTTAAAATAGTTAGAAAACAATGAACTCGCTGAATGCTTTTTGTACTAAATGATTAAAACAGGCTAGAATGTATCCTATACAAACTTATATTTCAGTTATTAAGTATTCAGTCACTTTTGGATTAAATTTTAGTAAATATAGGGGGTTAAAAACTTTCAATTCACACGATAGCTAAAAATAAATTTAGGTGAAGTAGAATTAAGATCCAGTGATTTCCAATGGTTAGAGGTTAGGAGCTTGAGGTCTAGACCTGAGTTTCGTAGAAGTCCATAGTTGGTTCGAAATCTTTCACTAGTTTATACTTTTATTCAACTATGTTCACAACAATAGGTGTGACAACAAAGTCTTGTAATGGCAGCAGACCACGCAGCTTTTATATGTTTGCACTAGTTTATTTTAGTGAATAATTAGTAACTTTACCCATGTATCACTTTTATAAACACGTGACTGCCTGAGCGTCTGTATAACACTATAATACCTAGGTATACAATAATAAGATAATAATTTCTACATTGATTTGTCTATCAAGTCAAATACACATACTACATCACTGAGCATTACGTCAGTCAGTTCGCTGCAGTATACGATTCTTACGTTTTACAAATCCTTTACTCTATGCATGTGAACTGCCGTGTCATTATGTATGAAACATATCCATTTCCTAAAATATTTCGTATTCCAGCTATTTGCATCACATCGTTATATGAATCTAGTTACACAATTGGATAAGTTTATAAATTATACGAAGTTAACTCGGGATGTAAAATCAAGTGGAGTAAGAAGAACTCGCAAAACAACATTTATACTTTTTAACAAGTTCTATGAAATCAATATAATTTGTAGTACATAAGAAAACACAAGGCTTAATGTATTTAGAAGAATGACGAAACAACTGAAAGCTTATTTGACTGTTTTTCATTGTTTCAGAATCTTTTTCCTATTCTAAATGAATTATTTTTTTCAACATGTAAATGAGGAAAGTAAAGCATGGTTTTTACATCGATGATAAGAGTGCGTCACTTACTGACTAACAAACTACCAGGGCTGATAAAACTCCAAAGATAATAAAGTTAATCAATTACTCCAAGCGCAATACGATAAGACTATTCATTGATGTGGAAAAGTTTAAAATTAACATTTTGTGTTTTAGAGGAAGAAAAAACGAAGTAATGTAAACAGTTTACACTATATGTTTACTAAATCACAATATGGGAATTTTCCAAATTTACTAAAATGTTTATCCTTTCAATCTAATTTGAAAATGTCATATGTTGTTGACTAACAAAGCTTTGTATTAAAATTCAGTACATATAAGCACACTCGCCTAATTATAAATTAAACCGATCAAGATGTTACGGAGATATATAGTTTTGTGAAATGGTTTTTGATATGGATCAATACATAGTATCTATTGAATTTTACTAAAATGTTACAAAAATGATATTCTATGAAATTCGGTGATTAAATAAAGTTTAATGTTACATTTATATAACTATGTAAATCTACTGATAGACTATCGCCATAGTATAAATATAAACGTCGACTACATCTACAAAAGCTGTATCGTATGAATAAGTCGTTCAAGACGTTTGCCAGTTGTTTCTTACAATGAAGTTGCAGTTCTTTACGTTTATAAGAGTTCTATAATTTGACTAAACACGAAGGTTATAAAATTTTGGATGGACATTGTTGAGAAGCTGAGACCAGGGAAATAACAAATATTCAGTGCTTCTAGGTTTTTACTGGCCTTTCGATTATGGAAAAAAACGTTTACAAATTGGTGATTGCCCTAATATCAAAATACATGGGTAGAGACTAGAATTTTCAGGCTTTAAATTACAAACTGATGCTAGACAGACGACCATTTTAAACCAGAATTTACTGCGAAGATGTTTTATCCTCTTACGGGACTCTTTATCAAAGCGCATCCACAACCCCACTACAGTGAACTAACCTGAGACATTTGATTTAAAACGCGAACGCTTAGGTTCTTGACCACTGAGACTGAAGGTTTTTGGTTTGAGGCTTTGCGATAGGGTCGTGGATCTATTCTGATGAAGAGTTATGAACCAGGATGAAAAAGCTCTTAATGTTGATCAAGTTAAGATCAGTTCGTGATTCAAACTACGATATCTTGTCATGTTAACACTACATAACTTATATTGCTGTTCAGATAAATAACAAGAGTATGACACACAGTCTATTGAAAATGCATTGATTGTTCCTGCAAGCAGAACAAAGTAAAAAATTAATATACATGATTACCTTTTCTGAGATCGATTTTATGTCCGGCTTAATCATTGACAAAGCTGGGGATGGTTTTTCTACACTGACTAACAAATTCAGATCACGATCTTTTAAACATCCTTGTTCTAATAAAGGTAGCCACTAAATTAAAACAAAACAATAGAACACTGTTGGTTATACAGTCAAGTTTACCATGAATCTACAGCTAAACGGCCTTTCAGGTAACATAATACAGAAGAAATGGAACATATTAGTGAATTTGAGAATAAGTACGTTGACTGGTATTTCTTGAATAATCTACAAGTTATATGATTTTAGTTTTTACTACAAACCGGCATTAGTCGGAGGATCAATGTGAGGCAGAGATCACTAAACAACTGTTTTATTCCTAGTTTATAACTGCTAAACGTGTGTAACGACGATCTAATGATCATATCTAGCGATGAGGCTATTACTATCAGATCAATAATTTGGGATTCAACAGTATACATTTTAGAAACATAGACGATTGAATTCTGGCATAACACATTATAGGTATGGTATCCTCCTTAGCAAATGAAGTGCCGAGATTGAACTTTGGGTTTGGTTTTACGTGAGTGCTATGAAAAAGTCACGAACTAGAAACAAACAACCATCTGGTGCTAATTCACTTTTATTGTCTTTTGACGCATATCTAGTTAGTCATGAGCTTTCATATTGAATAGTTTTAAACAAATGAATATTACTTACAGAATAACCAATTACAGTTTCTAAAGACGCAGATGATTCAAGTTTTTTTGTTTGACAAATTACATGATAAAATGTAAATAACAGATAATGAGTTTCTTCCAATTTTCCAGGTAACTGAATTTTTATTTCATCGAAAAATTCTGGCGATCTAATAGTTTGGTAATAAAAACATAAATATAAAACAATTAGGTCTGTAACTAAAATGGACAAATCAAAACGGTGAAAACAAGCAGCGCTAGAAGGTATGTAGTTACGTAGCTATGTGGAGCTAGAAAATATGAAATTGAGCACTGAGATTTATTATTTTGTGATTTTGATGATTCAAACAAACAAGAAAGTCACTTAATATATGAAAGAATCTATTACTAAATGCATCAAATGATAACTGTTGTGCTAACAAATTTCCAATAATCACAAAACAATGTGAACGAGTTTTCGTAAAGTTGCAACTTATCAGTATCCTGACTAAGCATGTGGTAATTAAGTTAAAAATGGTACACCCATAAGGTTTACTTTGACTTGATCGAAAAAAACAGAGTTGCTTTTGTATGTTTAGCCTATTACTATAGATTTGGTGGGTTGGGATATTCGGTGTGTTTCCAAGTCAATGAAGTAGAAAAAGATTTGTTTAGATCACAACATAAACACTCTTGTCCTAATACTTTCGGACAGATTGACAAAATACTATTTAATCAAATATAATAATGTGAAATCGATACAGGAGAACATTTTAGCTGTGTAGATATCCACTCGACAAACGATGGTGGAAAAGATTTGTAGCTAAGGTGGATGACTTTAATGAATCTTAAACACTAGTAGGTGCAATATAATAGTGGTTATCATTAAAATTTCACTACTCAGATTTAATGAAATTATGCTTAAGCAATCGATAAACTCTAATCACAATGAATGGACTGTTTCTAGATTTATGCGCTTTCAGAATACGAATAATATTTATATCTAGTACCTGATTTAAAAAGCAGAGTTTAACACTGTTCCTAATAAGTTATGGGTGAGTTGAATTTTCATAATAATAATAATTATTATTATTAATATTAAAGAGGTTAAGTTTGTATATAAAATCTATTCAAAGTGGGAATTTGAAATCCATGTCAAAATTGCCAGCTGAGAATATATTATTGAATTGAAGTTAGTATGATTTATTTTTGTATAGACCGATTTATTGCTTTACATAAGAAAAAAATTACATTGATTGATCATTTGGTAGTAACTCATATCATAATTGCCCATGTCTTTAGTTCAAGTTGTAATGTGGTCGCTAGTCTAGGTGACTCGGAAGGCGTTCTGATATTTCGTGGTTGTAAACAAGAAGAAAAAGCACATGAATGGTAACTAGCACAACACCTAAATACAGAGTATCCTCTCGAATCCTTCTAACAATTTAACATTTGTAGAAGCATAAATTGGACATTGCTGGATAACAAATAGCAAAAAATTTATTAGCAGCTAAAAATGAAGGCCATTCCAGCTTAAAAACGATGTGTTTACAAATCACTAGTTATCTCTACATATGTTTATGCTCTGAGTAGAATTTTAGTTCGTTGAAAAATGAGCTCGTAAATCAGAAATGTAGATAAATGGATTTCACAAAAAAGCTAGTTATAATTATGCTGAATATTATTTCGGATCATAGTGTCTTGAAGGATTTTATAGATAAACTAAATTCTTGGAATAACAGATATTTATAACATTTCTCAGCATATGTATTCAACTGTACATGAAACCGATATTCTAGGCCAATCAGAAGAAGCAGACTCGGACAGCCACGCAACATAACAGAAACTTTACCTTTTTTATATTGAATTTAATTCATTCCGTCAAATATTATCTTCTCCTCGACAAAAGGCGTTATCATGGACTTCATTTAAAGCTTGGTTTGACTTGGCATGCGACGAAACTGTAGTTGAATTTTTCTCAAGATTAAGTGTCTTGTGTTCAGATAGAGTAAATTATTAAATAAGTGTTGGCGATACTATAGTTTATGAGTGAGCCAATCAGAGTTGGGATAATAAGTCTTGGATTTTGGGGCAAAATTCATTCATCCATTTGACCAAGTAGCGTCTTGGCATTTCAGCTGATATCAGTTCGTGATGAAAACCCTAAGCCTAATTCCTAACGCTATCTATTAGCAGTAAATTCTTATTCCTCATACTGGTTTATAACACTCATTTAGCCTTAGTAAACAGATGGACATTCTCAAGGTCATATTAGCGTCGCTCAAAGTTTGTCCACAAATTTTGATCTTACTCAAATGATCTTACCAATCAAAAGAATGTAAGCTAATTGTTTAGTTATTTATTTTAACGCATAGATATTGGTACAAGGAGGCACCAAATACATATGCGCCACACAAATCTCATTCGATATGTGTGAGGGCTGTGATACTGCCCAGGTGCCCAAACCGAAGCCGGTGGTTTTCTTAGGGGGCCACACCCGGAGCCTTCGACCTGAAGGTCTGATCCACAAGGCAGTGGAGTATCGTAAGGAGATGCAGTCTCATGGTAGCCGGTGACTAACGATTAGTTCATACACCATTTGTTCCTTCAGGATACTGGAGCTCACGTGCACTATTGGTTCGGAATCAGAGTTTTCCAAATCCCCTAGGTGGACTCTCTATGTCTACCGACCCGGTTAAAGTGCCGGACATTCGCTTTTCGTCCTCTCAATTTCGTGAACAATATCCCCGCCACGAGAGGTCAATAGGTAGGACTTCCCTGGAAGAGGCTATATACGCGTGGCCATGTGAGAGCGTTTCGAGGGGTCAGTTAATTGTTAGACAATAACAAATAACAGGATATTTGTTCGCCATGATAACAATTAGATAATTCGTGAAGATGATCATAACGTATACACGTACAAATCACCGGTTAGTACATAAATGTCTTTTAGTATATAGATGTTTGATTAAATTGTAAGGTAGCCTGGTGAAAAGTTAGACAGGATTTTGAAACAAATTATGAGATAATCATTAACTATTTTTAAAAAAGTTAAGTGGTATAGATTGAAATTGATTACAGTGATATAGTCGTATTTATTTTACATCTTTGTTAAAATGTTAAATTTAAATAAATTTTGTACTTTTTATTTAGTGCATTTTTTATGCTTAATCTCATACTGTCATTGATATATATCTGTGGTCACATCAGGGTTTACTTGGATGCCAGTGTTGAAAATTTCAAAGAAAGTAATATGCATCTACGTTAGCAAGAACAGAAAACTTTATCTTGTGAGATTATTTCTTCTAAGCTTCTATTTGATGTGGCGAAAAGTAGAATATGATTTATTTACTTACCTATTATGATATAGAACTGTAGTAAACGCGTCGCTTATAAACCTAGGAGAATTGCTTTTGCCATATATAGCCTATGAGATAACAAAATAAATCAGACAAAAAAACTGGATAAATAAACAAAAATAAACACCTATACATATATATGATAATTTTATAAGCCTGAGGATAGATATTTTTGTTCTCTGAACTGGACACCAATAAAAACCGATACAAGAATCTTTTCATTTTGCTTAGACCGACGGCTTAGGCAACAAAAGAATATGTTATAATTGCTACGTCTAAGCGCTTAGCTTTTTGAAGAAGATCAAAGAGCTTTCAGTAAAACGTGGCTATTTGTCCATTCGAACTTTAGTCGATGAGAACATAAGCAGAGAGTTTACAATATCAAATCAAGAACGTAATGTAACTAATTAACAATGTACAAGTCGATATACATTGTAGCATACCTTTTATTGAGATTTTTAGTGATATCACGCTGTTATTTAAATTGAAAGACAGAAGCAAAGGGAGATTGAAATAATCCATTTGGTTGTAAGAAAGAAAAGTAATGTATATAATAATCAAAAACTGAATAACACCAAACCATGATTAATAATAGAAAAATGAACATTATTTGATTGGCGAGGCAACATATTTGTGTAAAAATGTGAAACTTAAGCTTCTAACATAATCATTTATTAGTAAAAAGAATCATTGGTTAAAATTTACCAAGGACTTTTTTATAAAACCTTACTTATCTACTAAACTTGAGGTTTTGCTGAGACAGTATATAGTGTAGACAGAGATTTTAAATACCGATGAAAAGACGAAGTTCATTACGATAGGCTAGTTTATTTGAAGACCTCAAGCATTATCAAAGGTTGAAATTTCGATTTCGATTCCATAATGTTCATCTTGAGTTTTACTGCTAGCTACTAAAAACAAAACTCAGTAAGGACTGATAAAAAAAATACTTGACAATACTGTCGAATACCTTCCAAAAAATAAGTCTTGGATATATATTGTAAACGATTAATTGATGATTTCAGTAATAAGTATTAGATAATACGGTATACTGAGATATCTAGTTGGTTTTACAAGGTCAACGTTTTCTCTCAAAGGTAAGTGTAACACAGGATCTGTACACATTTTCTTGAATGTTTCATGCATTAATTAAACAATTTAGTATCCTAACAATAATATATTTACGTGACTTGTTTGAGGAAAAAACTATTTCCAGAAGTATAAACTTTTCAATATTTACGTGAAATTTGGTTGTATTAATGAAAGCAGTTATTGAAGTATTTGGTTACAAAGTACTAATAATGAATGAAATATTTTACTGCATCCCAATTGTAATATGCCATAAATACAAGAGCTGTGTTATTGAGGATAAAAATGAAGACTATAATTCTATTATTAATCTCCTTACATAAGCGTAAAATTAGTGATTATTAAAGTCTAATCTTTACTAAAAATATCGTTCATGAATATCAAGTTATATATATAAATCAGAGTACACTACAATGAAGAGTAAGAGAAAGATCAAGGTATTTATTCAACACAGTGAAAAACATTCTGTCTAAAAATTATAACGCCTCAATTTTATACTAATCTGAAATTCAGGGATACTCGTTGATTCACACAAAAGTATCTTTCAGTCGCATGCTTAGATTTGTTAAGCAGAAATTTCAGAGAAATTATTTTGAAAAATCACTTACCGGAAGTACTTTAGTTACAGTAGAGTCACTATACATTAATTGTACACGAACAGTAATATTTCGAGAAGAAGCCTGTTTTGAAGGAGGAAGACTAACACTTCGTGGATATACATATAAAAGGTTACTATGAACAGAAAAGATAATAAAAGATAAACATACGTAATAATGAAAGTATATATATTCATAAATACAAACAAATCATTAGGAATCTGGTCACAACACAACAAATGTTAATTTTAACCAACACATTCACCTAAGATTTAAAATAAAATCAGATGTAGACTGATTGCAAATAAGTGGACTAATTAATAAATATAAGTTTGTTAATGAAGCTATAATGTTTATCAAATATTATTACTAATATCCAGGTAGTAGTATGAACAAGTCAGCTGAGTAGTTTGTAATTGTATGGTACATTGATGCAAAGTTCAATCTTCAGGAAATTACGAGTACTTAGATGCTGGAAAGTGTAAACAGGAACTAATCAAAATGAACTCTAGTTTTTGGATATTTTGGCAGCTAACCACAGACACTAATCAACTTGATGAAATATACTCTAAGAATCTGTTAATTAACTATAGGTTAAATTGCATTTGTTAGATAATGTAATGGGTAATCCAATGACTCCAATAAGCACTAAACTGATATTTACAATTCTTAAGTATAATACGTTTAGTTTGATAATTGTTAACAAATAGTCATAGGATCGTTATACCGTACAAATTAAATTCCAGCCAGCTTCTTTGTTCTAAGTATTCAGGTTAAAATTACACTTTACTGTAATCAGAGAATTAAAATACAATTTACTTTCATATCTGCTTATCGAATTATTTTACGAAAACTTACGAGAAAAAACGCACGACAACACATCAAAACAAACCTAGGACCGTTAGGTCATTCAATGGGAATACAGCAAGTCATACTTCAGTCTCACTAAGTTTGTTATAAACACCAATTCTTGTCTAATTGGTTACTGACTTCCGATTCGGCCAACTTCATAGATCACAGCTTTATATTGAAACTTTTAAAGGTCTATTTTGACGCTAGCCACTAATGAAAACACATTATCTACTTAAATGTTACGCATAAAATTGTGTAGCTTTATGATAGTTTTCGACATGACAAGAAAACAGTTGAAGAACCATGGGAAACCTGTGACAGCAAATAGTTGTTTTATTTTAGTCTAAGACTCCTCAGCAGTGTACACGCACAACTCTACACATGATAATACTTATATCCAATTAGTTTCGTGAGATGCATGATATGGTATAGACTAGGAGAAAACAACTGAACAATGCACTTAAAATTAATCAAAACAACATTTTACATAAAATAATGTAGGTGCACATATTCACATGATACATAATTATCATTCCACTCTTGGTCAACATTTGAGTATGATGGAGAACAATAAGGTAGGTATCATGTGCATCTCACTACATCATGGTAATTCAAACAATTTAGATTTCATAACTTTGCTTATGTTTACAGCTTTGATGAAGTTAATCTATCACATCAGTAAAGGTATATTATGTTAGATTCAACAATGTGTCTTAACTAATGTACAAAAAACAATAGATACAAAGATTTCACAATTCATACTAGTAGGTTCCTGGTTATTTTTTAAACGATGTAGTTGTCGAAATAAGTAGTATAGTCAGTAAACTGAAAGGTTTAAAGTTACTCCAAATAAGTGAACTCATTGTTACTGAAATCTTATTGCAAACGAGATATTAATTTAGGTTATGTTCTGATTATTTTTTAAAGAGTTTAAGTACGACAAAATACTTTTAGCCGATGAAGACCATTCGTTTTCTTGTCGTCAATAAGTTGTTTTACTTTGACTAACACATAGTATTTAAAGTTACTTCAATATCTTATATTCCATTATTTTTTTCCTCAGATAAATGAGACATCTATATATAGCTGATAACCTTCTGTACTAGTAAACCTCTTTAAACAATCAACATTGAATAACTATTCTGTGAAACAAATGTAACTATTATGTAACTACATGAAATGTAATTATTTTCAAAAAGATATAGAACTTCTATAGAATTCAATCATAATCCCAGGTAGCCATCAAAAGATCTTGTTTGTAACAAGTAAAATGGGAATATTCTAAATCCATTTATTAAAAAAATTATGTCAAATAATTATCTATCTGTAATTTTCCTATAATCTAAATACAGAAAAAGATCTAAACATGTCATTTCAGACTATTTTCACCAGATAATAAAATTGCAAATAAGTTTCTTCTAAGCGTTTTTTATGCTCAACAATATAACTTATGATGCTTTTCAAAAATTTTTTGACAGCCAGTGTTGCCCATATGACTTAATCAGTCAGTTTGACCAAGTTACATTACATATGAAAAAAAGATCTCAATACAAACATAAGCTTCAAAAAGACTAACATTATTTAATCCAGGCCTACAGACTGGAAGCTTTAGAACTCCCCCACAAATATGCAAACTATTCAATGATATCAAGATACCATTAAAATTCAGTTTCATACTTGATGCTATCTGACAATCTATTTTCTTTGAAGTTTAAACAAAGCATACTTAGCCCCATATAACAAACTCTCCAGCAAACATAACATTTTCAAATGACTATTATTTTTATGTTGATTAAGCACAAAATTTGATGAAAAATTTACTTATCTATGTCTTAAAAAATATCTGATGAATCATCTGTAAAACAGTGTATATTTTATGTTTTATATCGAGTCACAAAAAGCTCAATTCTCACAAGCAACAATCGTTTAAGAAGTTAGAATAAGCACGAAACAATACTTAGATTCAATAAAACAATATAAAAACTGACCAGAATGATCTACTCGCCTGTAGAACAAATATATGGTGTATGTAATTACACACAATGCTACCCAAAATTATCTAAATTTATATGTAAATACATATGTACACAGATATATGCAAACAAACACATACAAGAGTACACCAATGTATAAAAAATTTATGTCTATATGACAAATGTAGATCAAAATTATTTAGTCTGGAATTTTCTAATATAAACGAAGAAATAAAAATTTCTTAAAAGTTTATTAGACTTAAAAAGTTATTGTCCAAATATAAAAGTAATTAATAATGTAAAATATACAAAGATATAAACTTAATATTTTAATGGACATTTTCATGAATATCGTTTACAGAAAGTAGAAAGAAGAAGAATAATACAAAATTCACTTGGTATTGTTTTACATGAATCTTCTCATTGATGTTTTAGGACTGAAATTGATCAGTCCCTTATTGGCATATGTGAAGATTTAAGTAAAACAATACCAAGTGAATTGAACTTCACCCCATTGCACAAGCAACAGGCTATCAGGACTCAGTAGCTAAGTGGATAACGCGATGGCGTTTCAGGCGAACGGTATTGAGTTCCAGTCCCAGAGTAAACATCAACTCTGAGATGCAGGTACGTCCAGCTGACGGGTCCCAAAACAGGACGAAATGCGCGTCCTGAATTCCACTGCTAGCCACTATCCATCTTTGCTTATAATAATATAAAAGATATATTGCAGTAGATAGATAATCACTAGCTTCACAAAATTTGCAATTAAAGATTCAGTTAGAAAAATCGAAGCATTTAAAAGGATTTAAACAAAATTTACAAATGAACTTGATGTATTTATCAAAGCAGTTGTCAAAGAAACTAAAAAAGAACAGTTTACATTTTCATTAAATTATACGGACGAAACTTTAGATTAATATATGATTTATTAAATTATCAAAGCATTAACAGATATTCAGTGTTTAAACTCATATTAGTTATTGATATTTATTGTTCATACACACGATTTCTGGGTGTTTGTTATTTATTGTATTGAAGTTATCAAATGATATTTAAAACTGAAGTTAGAGTTGCATAAAACTGTAAGATAAATAACAGTGTTCTATTATAAATAAAGTAGATGGATATAGAGGGTGTTGAAAGTCAAATTGACCACAATCCCTTGATTTATAAAATTGAATATGACTTTACCTTGAGTACTAGACAGCAGTGAAATAAAGCTCTCCTATGATTTTCAAATTAAACCAGTAAACAACCATGGTATATTTCTTTCTATCTAATTGTACCACATATTTTCGCAATATATATAAAGTAAATATTTGGCTTAGAGTTACACTGTTTTATGCAAGGGTTGGTGATAGTATTAGGATTTTCAGAATGAATTGAGTCCAGTGCCGTTTTGACATATTAACCCTATGGTTAAATCCATCACTAATTATAAAATGTCATTAAAAGATTAATTAATGGAAATATTATGTGCTGGATGTTTATAACTCATTCTCCAACAATGAATAAGTGGAAATGCTGACGGTAAAGTCAATTTGCAAATAAATGAAACAATTTCCTTGTGTTCTCGCAAACAACAAAACAAATTTATAATCTACTCACTCACATACTATGAGTATTTAACAGGCAAATATTTAAAAAAAGTATACTTACCGATATGATGTAAATGGGACCATTAGATCTGGTGAAGGCAATTCAAGAACTTCACGAATCATATTTGGTATATGTTCAAACACTGTAGAGTTATTGTCAACTTTATTAACAGAAAAATCACTAAATGCTTGAAAAATAGAACCAATGTACGGAAGACATTCGGGATTGAGCAAAATGCTAGACTGACTATTTAATTCATCTTTTCTTTTTGAAATTGAATATCTTTTAATTTTTAGATTCGTTGACTTTAACAAATTGATAAGAGTTTGTGAAGTCGCCCAATGTAAACGTATATTTAATGATATATTAGAAATTGTTTTGAAACGTCTCACTGAACCGCTAGTAGGACTAAATGCAGATGAAAGATTTAATGAAAAGTTGGAAATATTTAAATTAGAATTCTCTGAATTATTACTGTTATTATTAGCAACAACGTGATTGTTCATTAAAACACCATTTAACCCAGGACCAGGTGAAATGATATGTCGATGATTAAATAGTGTTTGACGATGAATTTCATTAACATGACGAAATAACTCATCGTCATTTATTCGATCTTTTTCCTTGAAAAAGAAAAAAAAGTGGGGAAAATCATCCAAAAGCTCTACTTTGAGTTGATTATAAATCAAGTCATTTCATGTTTAAAATATTGATAAATTTCATATGCATAATATAGTCTATAATTCTTAGGGTAAACTATAAAGAGCATATTAATTTACTGGATAAAAATAAGGTTGAAGACAATGTACATTAATTCATCAGTGTGAATCAAATAGTATCCATCAAATTTCAGTGAAAAAACTAGCCAAAGTGATTGAATTATCATCACGTGCACTATAGTTTGCCAATACAATCTGATTAACAAAATTTGATCAGCACTGACAGTTAGGCATATGTCACATTCGTTACCACTCTGTGATCAATGATTGTGAAAAAAATAAATGGTCCTTGAGACTAACTGCTATAATCGAATTACTTTAGATATACTTATAAAATAGAGCAAAAGATATACCGAATACCAACAACAGAATTGTGCTAAATCAACACTAAAAAAACCAGTCTAGATTTTAACAAATTAATATATATGAGGCAATGAAATGTTTTTGTAAGATCTTTAGTTAGTATAAAGCATTAATATATACACGGTTGTAGACAGAAATTCTATTCAAAAATGCGCTTTTGTTAGTACTTAGAATAAAAAAATCATGTCGAAAAAATTGACGCACTATTTACTAAAAACGTTGAAAACAAACACTTGTTAGAATCAATAGGACTAGCCAGTAAACACAGACAGAAAATGTACAAAATAACCTTAATATATACACATGATCTAAAAAACTAGGAGTCCATTACTAAGTACCGAAGTATTCTTTCAATTATGAGCCGTAGTTTGTTCATATTTAAGAGCTATCAATACTAACTAATAAGTTGCACAAATCAAAGTTGATAGAGCGAACTTCCAATTAGCAATTGAATGGTTCCAAGTCAAGTGACATTAATCACTGAGGTACAAAAAGTTGTAACACACTATCCACAAATTTTGAAAACGAGTACTATGATGATAACAGCCTTAACTCACATTCCCCTTGTATTTATCGATACCATGGCAAATAAAAAAGACAAATGTGCATTGAAGCGATTTCCATCCTTAAGCAAACAAGTGCTTACAAACAGATCATTGCATTAATCAAACTATAGTTATTTTACATGACAAGAGTCATAAATGTGTATACAGCGAATATTTATTGAGATTTAATGAAAACGATCACGATTATCGAATAGAGTATATGTGATACGTTTCACTGAATAACTCGAAACAACTTAAGCTTGTGTAAAGAGTAAATATAATAAAAACACTACCATTACACAAAATCATAAACACATCATTCGCTTAGAATGCCAGATAAATTAAATCAACAGTGCAAAAATCTATAATCTTAACTAACTAAATATAAATAAACTAAATATAAATAGATAAAACTGAAAAAGAAGTAGTTATCTGTACACTTGTCCGCACAATAAAAGTAATATAAATATTACAATTGCAAAGTACTAGTTATGAGACAACCGAAACAAATGGGTTGGACAGTCATTTAAAAGAATGGAATGTAAGTTCCTTGAGTTTATTCAAATGACGAGAGCTAAATTTGTTAAACTCACAGGAACTCAACAATCTTTATGATAGTAAGTGAACTGGAGGTAAAAATAAAAATAAAACCTACATTATTCAAGAAACAAATACATTTAATTATACAGATGATTGTAAAAATAGTTGATCTAAAAATTAACCCTGAATATTAAAATCCAAATTTTGTAAAAACTAACATAATCAATAAAAAACCTGAAAAAAATTTCAAAATAATACTAATCAGTTTTTAATTTAAATGTGCATAACAACTTACTTGTCTAAAAAAATTATTAATTTTTAGTTCTATAGGCGAAAAGCATATTGAATCTGATTGTTCGATGCTTTTTGAACAATTAGAAATACTTTGATGAAAGCGTTTTTCATGATGACTAGTTACCATTCCTTTTATCCAGTCATATTTTGCTTTTTTTACGAAACCCTCTGGACTATTCGATACACCAAATATTGATGATGATAATGAATCATGAGGATTAACACTATTATCCTCTGAATGATTATGTAAAGCAGGATCTACTGACCGACTACGTGTACTACCGCCACCATTTAAATTTCGTTTATTAAACTCAGAATATTGTTTGTTGAGATTAATGGCTTAGTGAAAAGTGGAAAGAGGAAAACAAACAAATGAAGAAATAAAGACATCATGCAAGTATAAAAATGTGATATTTACATACGTGGTATAATCAATTCTAAAAACAAATTACATTGACTAACATGAATCAACAACAAAAATCAGATTGATGTGTTGAAGGGATATTAGAAAGCAGAACATAACACGCAATTATGATGAATTATTACTAGGCATGAATTACAAATCATAGTCACTCAAACCAAACAAAAAAAGTAACGCTAAAACTGTCGAATGCTTTAAATTGACTGATCATTCATAAATCTATTTTTTTAATAATGCTATTCAAATCGTGTAATCGTAAGTGTAAAAATTATTATCTCATCGGCCAACGGGCATAAATGTTGATAACTAAATTAAACAGTAAACATCTTATAAAAAAATAAATTCAAAGTGTAATTTACAGAGATATGATCTTAGAGAAGGAATCAGTTTATTAGAGACAACGAATGATTTCGAATAATCGTAATATCTACAGCTATATAGTTTTATGTCGACCACTTCCAGTCACCCCAATGATTGATGAATAACAGCATGTATGTAAAACAATTCTTTTAAATTTAACCAGTTTACTTAAGTAATCACTAAAGAAATCACTGGACTTTTATAAAACTTAAGAACTCCATCATTTTTCTAGACTGCACAAAATACGTCTATATACTTACATTCCGTTGTTTTTGCACAATGAGTATCATCAGTTTGTGATTGAATAAATTTATTACGAGGATCAATCATATATGGTGTTAAATCAACAGCAGTCCAAACTAAGGGCATACGATAACGTCCTAAGCGTTGACAACACCAGTTTATTGTGGTTTTCAGTTTATCTTTATTCTGTAAAACAAAACACAATACACGAACACATTAAATTTGACAATTTATTTAGTTTGTTAAAATAGATGGATAAGTTATTAAAAATATCTACTACCCAATGTAAAGTAATCAAACAATTGAAGTCAATCTAAAAAAAGTATTTGGATTTGAATTTGTAGACTAATATGTCGGAAATAATTACTTACTTGGTTTGAAAGGAGTCACACTGCTTTTACATTGCTTTTTCCATAATTGATGTTAGTAACAAATATAACAAATAACTGATGAAGCACTTGATAGTTGTTGTCTATGAGTATGTAATTTCTAACGACCTTCAGGTGTCGTGATTGGCACAATACTTTTTGCATATTAAATTCCATTTAATTTGTAAACAGGTAATCCTTATTAAGTGTTATCAGGTTAACTTGAAACGTTTATCTAATTTTCCACATTTTTAAAAGTACAAACACTTAAAATGATTTCGGAATAACATTTCAATGTGGTGGAATTATTGACCTTGAATGACGCCGAAATATGAATTGGATATTTTATGCTCTTTACTACTCAGTTGGTGCACGCAAATGAAACTAAGAATCTGTTGCTTAAACATTTTGAAACGCATATGTATATGCTGTATTTGCATAGCTGAAGAGTTTTTTAAGGTCGTGAATGGTTGTTTTTCATGTTAAACCAGACTACTTTTCAAGTACGAAAACTCATTTATTTTAGAGGGAATCAGAATATGCATGAGTCTCTGGAAAGATCTTAAATATTTTTGCGAAACGTTTTCTTAGCTTTTCTGAAAACTCAATGGAGAGTAGACGAAACGACGTCGTGAGTCAACCACGAAAATGAAACCCCAATCTTTTTAAGATAATCCACACCATAACTGAACAACTACTTTACAATGCATCGGTAACGTACATAATTAACTACTTGAAGCATATCTAAAACGGGAAAATATACAAGAATAAAAACATTTGGAAAAAAGGTGGCTTAGAAGTTTAGTCAGGCTACTTGTATTACTGTCGAGCACAGTTCCGTGTAGTCGACTATGAAAGTGATATTAACCGCCTCACTACATTGAAATAAGTGAAGCATATTCAAAACCTCTAGTCTATCGGTCGAAAGGTGAGTGTTGTAACCAATAAATAGCTCCTTAATTGTGCAAAGATTAGGTTTTCATTGACATAGTTGATATGATCTTCGCATAACCTTGGATACTTATACTTTGCAAAAGAAATAACGAAAACTACACACATATATATGATAATTTTATATGCTTTACATTCTAATATACTAGAGAAAAATGAAATACATTGTCGAATAACATGACCAAATTGAGGGGAAAATGAAAAAAAATAAATTAGGCCTGTCGTATTGTAAAACCATACATTACCAATTAAAACCAGCAGATCATTTCTCAATTATAAAAGATGACTAATTTGATACTATGTTTGCTGTTTAGTCACTGATGTAAAAAATACTACAAACTCTTATATGTACATTGCATTAAGAAATAGTTTAACCTTTACATTCTGAATGAACAAAAAAAAATTATTTGAACTTCTTTCTTCCCTATCCCTAGTGCCATTTGTGTGTAGAAGAATTAAAGTTTTATGAATAAACATTCAGCTTGCTTATTATTTATTTGTGCAGTCAATGTAAGTAAATAAATACGTCTCCAATTCATTAAGTACAAAAACAAGTGCATTGCATTAAACCCTGTTACATACTAACTGTATTTTATTGTAAATAAATGTTTTATTCTGGTGATAAATTGCATGTGAATTATTTATGAATGGTTCAATACAATGTAACATCAAATATTTGAAGCTAAAATAGAACAAAATCTACTCAAGAAAACATATAACATAATAGTATGTAGACTGGATCAATTCGAAGGCACTTTAATACTATAAAATCAAGTAAAATAAGTCAAAACTTTATAAATAGTACAAAAACTGGAAGGATATTTGTCAAGTGATGAAAAATATTTGTAGCTCAAGATGATAATTTTGGAGGTATTTCGTTCACAAACCCAGATGGTTTAATCTGGAACTTTTCATTATCTTACTAAACAACATCATGAATACATACTCTAAAAAGAATTGAGCTGTTAGAATTTTCGCCCAATTGACAAATATTTTGGTCTGTTGAGGCACATTACAACTCTTTTGTGGAAGTTAGGGAGATGATGCAATTAAGTGGCTTACCTTGAAAAGCTATCAGATAGGGATCAGGACAGAAGCCAATGCCGATTCTGTTGAAATTTCCTTTTACACTCTGAATAAGATGGTGGAAGAAATCCCTTTAGCTGATAGGATTCTTTCTGATTGTATTTCTAATTGAACTGCTTCGCTCATTATAAACTGTCCTCATTTCTTTACTTTAGATCATACTTCCACACCTTCAGATTATTTGTGCAATGCAAATTTATTTTGATGACTGATTGTGCATGAAATGTATTAAATACGGTAACATGTTCCGTTCACTTAAAATTTGACTGATTGTTTGTACGCAAACAACTGCTGCACTATTACATTGCTATCGTTGTTTAGAAAGAAAATAAAACCTTCATGACTAAATCCTCTAACTCAGATAACACAACACATACGAAAGATACTTCCCATTTTGATTTTTAGACTCCTTAGTATAATTTGGTAGTACATGGTACAAAGTTACAGGAACCGAAGTAACTATCCTAGAAACGGCTCAAGGTTCATATTATACAGGATTATTTTACTATACTACGTGTCGCGTAACAGTTTAGTACTAAATTTTAGATGGATCTGTTAAGCATTAAAATTATCTGCAAACATTAGCAAACGGAACATTTGAAAATGATAATCCTTTCTAGAGAAAAAAGTGAAATGCTAGAGAAAAGTGTATGACTCACTTTTTCATCCTTATTATAACCTTCAATGATATCGTTTACATCACCTTGTTGTAATACCTTCTCTACCTGTCAAAATAAGGAAAAAAATTAATTATTCGGTGGAAATACATGACTAGTGATTATATGATTCAATGAGTCGCATTGTTTGATCACAGTAACGTAAATTAGTGAAACTGCAAATAATTGAAGAGAATTAGTGACATTTTACGAATGAATACCTATTAAAATCATTTCAAGACAAACATTTTTAAGGGTTGTATTATAAATTAAACCCTAACACAAGTTTCTCTCTATGTACTGTTTTGCTAAGGATAAGGTAGAAAAAGTAATCTTCTTAGAACCTTTGCATAAATATCAAGATGTGGATTTGTAACTTGATCCATGAGATAAGTTGGGTTTTGATACATATATTGCGCTTGCTTAGTTAGATCAAAACAAATTATTCATGAAATTGATCAGTTTAGATGGCCTGTAAGATGCAAAGAGGAACGGGTTATCATGTGGAGAGCTATTTAACTCAGTATAAGCATTAGGAAAGGTTATTCAAACTAAAGCCTATGATAAGTAACTACAACGATGAAAACAGGAAAGTGACCAAATAAACAAACCAATCATTGATCATTTAACTTTATGGTGAGTAAATGTTAACCAATAAATAAAAACAAAACATCAGCACAGTTCAAACTTTGATATTAGATGAGGCAAAATGCTATGACTAACAAATTACATTGGTATTAGATAATTTTTCGTACTCATCAGTTTTATATTATATTTGAACCTCAAGTTAAGTGTGATTTTCGCATGAATGTTTATCTCCCGGATATTCAAGATAATCAAGTAACAACGACGGGTGTCCGTGTATGTTTAAGTAAAGCCTTAGCTTACTATAATCGATTGTTAAATCATATATCCTGTGAAACTGATAGCAAATATTAGATATTAGTGGTTCAGTAGAAGCAGCATAATTGATCATAAAAAGTAGAAAGTTTAAAGGCTTTAGAAATCCATAATATACATACTACAGTGTGTAATTTAAAATTATACTTTCTCGTTTGATTGGAATAAACTAAAAGATACACTGCGTTAAAAGTAGAGAAAAGCTTAAACACTTGTAATTGTTACACTTCGTAAACAATTAAACAGAGCTGGAACTATTATTAACTTCACGAGTCTCTAACTATAAAACTTCCAAGAAATTATATTAAAAATATACCACACTATTCACTGAATTTTATACATGACTGAATGTTATAAGGTGCAAGAGGAATAGATTACTTTTAAATACTTTTCATATATATATATATATGTCTTTGTTGATCTCACAATTGTTAATATTAGTTTATTTTATTCAAATGCACTGAAAAATTGATTTAGAAGTCAGAAATTGCAATCGAACCTGAAAGTGCTGAGTGTAACGTAGTAGTTATAGTCATTAGGGACTGAGTCCTGATGATACTGCTCTAGCGACAAAACAAAATGATATACTAAAACAATAACTTATGTAGTACATAATATAGAAATTAAAATATTAACAACCAAACCATTTATAAAATTATCATTCCTTCTAGCTCACTCGAATTATTAAAAACAATCCGCCTTTACAACAAGATGTTTTACAGGAGTTAAAAGTAAGCTTCTCAGTCCATTCTGAAGCAAATAGTAGGACGTCTTCTAGACCAAAATCATCGTCGTTATTTGATTCACAGTCATTTGTAGGAACATTCGAGTGTACTCCAATTTTTTCCGCAGAGCCCCCAGAGGGTGTTTTTAAATAAGGCTTCGTAATATTACCTCTTAGATCTGTTGAGTTGGACAGATTGTATCGACTACTTATTCGAAACAGACAGGTCTGTGCTAATGAGGTCACATCACGATAAGCTAGTTGCTGGTTTGTCATACTACCACTAAACAAGTTCATCATTCTTGTTGAATTGGTATCAAAATGGAATGTTTCCGAAACTTTAAGGCGCGAATGAACATCGTAAATAAATGCTGAACCGAAAATAGGCTCTAGGTTACCGTCATCTAGTTGCAGCTCGAGAAACTCCGTCAATAGATATAAAGTTGTATTTGGTTGACTTTTGGTCGGATTGAGTAGCTCAGATGGCCATTTGCATCCAGGACTTAACTGACGAATTTCGATAGTATCCTTCTAGATCAGGTTGACAAAATATATAATCAAGCAAAATATTACATACATAACGAAAGTAACAAACAACAAATAAAGTTACAGCTTCCTAAATTGTTGTCCCCAATGAATTTTAACACATATTGTGGGACTACATACATTCAGTAACAAGTTCATCATACTGTTAAGTATTCATGATGGTTTTTATAATATGGTATCGTCAGCCTAATTAGTTGGATAAACAGGATATTAAAATCAGAAGCCTCTGAACAAGAGAGTGAGTTGTGTAAAGATTGTCAGGTGGAGGTAAATAATGAGTACAGAGAAAATATTTTGTTAAAAAAATCAAAGTTTAATACTGACCATGAAACCGTTGTTAACACTGAACAGTGGAAAGGGACCTTAAATATACACGTAACTGGAAGTAGACTCATTTGTATTAGCAGAAAAAACTTAATATGGTAAGAAAACCAGTAACACCTTAACTAAAATTAACGAATCGAATTTCATTACTAATATAAAAAACGAAGACATGATATACGACATATAAAAGGCACAACATCAACTTGCTTCTAAAATAAAATAAAATAAAATGGAAGCATGCTTACCCACTCCAAGGGTTCGCGTATACCCAGCAGTGATTTAGTCAGTGTTAATAAAGGACCGCCTGAATACCCGAAAACATTATAATCATTTATTTGGGCGGTGTCATTTTTCGAAGCTTCATTTGTCAAGTTGTTCGGTCGTTTCTAAAATTTTATTGGTCACAGGATTATAAGTCACCTCATGCGTTAGACTTCTACTTCCAACCAAGTCCAGATTCGAGAGAGGTAAACAAGAGTATTTCTTATGAAACCTTTGCTCGTCATGACTACAAATAATTAAGGCGAAAAGGGAACCTACATTTGAAAGCACTGTATAAGTGAGTAGTAAGACGAAATGCATTGTTGAACAGTGGGCGAAGCAGAATCCCTATAGTTTTAAAAGTTGATGTTATGAATCAAGCTTACAAATTATCAGGAACAGGTGACGGGCTGAAAATTTTGCTGCGTTTCAGGTTGACACATTTTATCGTATGATTTATTGTTTTAGAATTATATGACATGATCCGAGCAGAATTTATGAAGTCAGCGCTATTGCAAATACCCCAAGAAAATCCCTACGTTGGTAATAGTGAAGCGGTCATCCTCATGAAAATTCAACCAACGAGCTTAAAATTTGTAATCTACAAATGATAAACCTAAACAACAAAGAGACATGTCCAATAGGTTATCGCTAGATTTACCTACTCGTCTACTTGTAAATCCGTAAGCGTGCTTATATTTCGAATTGAGTCCGTGAAACGTGACTAATATATAAGAATAGATACTGGTTATGTATGGTCTTAAGAAACATATTCTTGAAGTTTTGGAAAAGGAATCACTGCTTGGTAATAAATCGGACTCAAAGACGAATCGACCAGAAAATATTATGTGTTTGGATGCCACTCAATATGTATTATACTGATGCTGGATAGTGCAAAAAATTCATATTTTCCGACAACAAAATTCAGCCTATCTCCATAAACTATCACTGTTGAAGTTTCGATCAAGGTAGCCAAACGTAAACGCGGGCAGCATTTGTAGAATTCAGTTTGAACAATCGGAAGCGTAACTTTGTGCCGATATGAAAAAATTCAAACCGTTCAATTTTATAAACTTTGCGTTTTACGTTCATTGCACGTGAAAATTCAAAGTATGGGTACGTCTTAATGATGCTAGAAGTATTAGGAGTTTGACAACACCTTTACCAGTAGCACCTTTTATAATTCAAACGTGCCATGAGGGAACGGTCTCACAGTTTACTAATCGGTGTACTAGATCACGTCGGGCTCATCATTTTTATGGTCCTATATCTGGCTTCAGTTATATCGTATGTTGATTGTTATTGAAATATACATGTCGCGAATACTCGAATACAACCACTGACTTCAGACGCGTTGGTGAATGAAGGGATTGAATAGGTCAAGTACGAGACCGAATTTTGAATATGTATATTTCATACAATCGTTGGTCTGAACAGACAATCAGGGAGACGGAGCGAATGAAGCTGAGAGGAGTAAGAGAAGCGAAACTAAATGAACCGCAATGAAGAATGCGAAAGTGACAACTCAATTTAACCAAGTGTGAATCGATGTTTAGAGTAACAAAAAGCTGCAAACATATGATGAGTTACATAAGAAGAACACATACATATAGAAAAACTGTCAAGGTTGACAAGTTAATAAATTGCAAGGTCAAAATATGAATCAAGCAAAATAAAAAATTGTCTGATCCAAAAGCTAGAATAAGCTGAAGCGGTAAATAAATCCCCAAAATAAATAGCTCTGTAGGTTTTCAACATTGGATGCTGACCACATGTTTTAATGAACTCACCTAGCCGAAGACGCTCGGTCATACATCCGCAACAGATCACGTGTGGTAACGCCGTGCTCAGCAACCCTTGCAATCGCTAGTCAGATTAGATCAGACGATCCTCGATATAATAATAGCTTATCAAATATATCTTCTAACCTCCTCGCTTCTGTCTTTTGATTTCATTTGTTAGGCATGCTTCATATTAGGTGTTACTGGTTAAAGCATTTTCAAATCCCGAATACCTGTGGCATCTTCATTGCTGAGCCCAACGTGATCTGGTACACCAAATCGCAAACTGTGAGTCTGTTCCTTTGTGGCATGCTATATATCATTGCCCTTATTTTTTATACGTCGTGATATTTTTTGTGATTTTTGGATATATAAATATTTTCCCACGTTCATTATCGTACTTCATATTTCATCATGACTGAACAGACATCCAAAGTACTTAAGCCTAAGACTTTGTACCCACCTTCGTTTCAACTGATGCCCTTCTGACCAAACAGCATCGAAGCCTGGTTCTGCTACGCAGAAGACGACTTCTCCTAGCACAGAGTGATCGACACACGTACACAATTCCTCGCAGTAGTCAAGGCACTACCGCGCAAATTCAAGAGATACGTCACACCTAAAATATTTACTAGTGATGTTTCTGAACCTTACGAAAGGCTGAAACGTTCTATTCTGAAACGCGGAGACCTAACCGGTAGACAAAGTTTAGACCAACTCTTTAATAACATCGACTTACAACACGGTTCTGCGACAGACATGTTGCAAAAGATGAGAGAGGTTATCGTCCAAAGAACCTTCGATGATGGCCTATCTAAACAACATTTTTTGTCCAAACTACCTCAGCAGGTGCAAGCTGTGCCTGTCTCGTTTCACAACAACGCCTTGAACAAGCTGGCTGTATTTGCCAACCGCACTTTAGAATTCACAAAACTTTCTAATACCGAGGTTTTTTAAGTCAAAGAAAAGCCTCAACCGACCCAGAACGACATGACAGAGTTATGTCATACACTCACGCGTTATCTTAACTTTCGTAACGACTGTAAGAGTTCACACGCCCCACGTAGAAGCACTTCACGTAAGCAATCTGTCTCTAGACCACGAGAGACGGATAACCCCGACTGTTGCTGGTATCATCACCAGTATGGATAGTCATCCAGAAATTGCAGAAAACCCTACAATTTTCCCATCTCGAAACCGACCGACTCGAAAAACAATTCGGGAAACTTCCAAGCCGGTACGTGTTAACGGCAACCGTAGCCGGCGAATATAGCCGTCCGTTGTACGTAACAGATGTGACAACAAGAGTTCGCTACCTCGTTGACACTGGCGCAGAAGTTAGCGTTCCTCCAGCGAATCTCAACGGCTGACTTCACGAATCGCTTCTAAACGTACAGGCGGCAAACGGAAAACCTATCGCTACGTATGGCAAAAGGTACGTTTACCTTAACGTGGGTTCACGCAAACCCATTCACTGGATCTTCGTTGTTGCAGATGTATCTATGCCAATCATTGGTATGGACCTTCTACAACACCATAATCTAATCATCGTTACGCGCGAACGGAGGCTAATAGACGGAATTAATAATTCATCCGTTTGCGTGACTTCTTTTACTGGTTGCAGATTATCCCCAGTCACAATTAAACATACGATAGACCCACTTTATCATCCGCTACTCGATAAGTATCCTGGGATTAAGCAAGCGCTACCAAAATCATTGTGTGTAACCAGCAACATTACACATCACATCACGACTACAGGACCACCTGTATTCTCTAAAACACTTCGACTAGCCCCCGAAAAGCTAAGGTTGGCGAAAAACGAGTTCGATCACACGACAGACTTAGGAATCATACGACCGTCAAATAGCCCATATGCATCTCCGTTGCATATGGTCCCAAAAAAGAACAGCGACGATTGGCGTTCCACTGGTGACTATCGGCGATTGAATGCAAAAAACATTCCCGATCGTTACCTGTTGCCTCACATTCACGTTTGGACAGCTCCCTTGAAAGGTACAACTGTCTTTTAGAAAATCGACTTCGTTAAAGCGTATAACCAAATTTCCATGGCCACTGACGACATACCGAAAACCGCCATCATTCCTCCTTTCGGACTCTATGAATTTTTACGAATGCCTTTCGGTCTAAGAAACGCTGCCCAAACATTCCAAAGATTCATAGACGGCGTTTTTCGAGGTCTCAACTTCGTACATGCGTATGTTGACGACTGTCTTATAGCAAGTCCGGACAGAGAATCTCATCTCAAGCATCTGGATCTTGTTTTCGATCGTTTACCGAAACATTGCTGTGAACATTCAGAAATGCCAAATCGGTACTGACTCGTTACACTTCCGAGGACACACTATAGATGCGCAAGTCATTCGAGCCCTTAGGACCAAAGTGGCGGTTATTCTGGATCACTCAGAACCGACCACGATCAAGCAACTATGAACGTTTAACGGCCTTGTAAGTTTCTATAGACGATTCTTACCTAAATGCGCGTTATTCGTGAAACCTCTTACCGACCATCTTCGTGGAAATGCGATGTCCATCAATCTAGATGACACTGCACGGAAAACAATCTCCCCAGTTAAAGAACTTATTGCTCAAGCAACAATGCTCGCCCATCAGGATAGTGAAGCACCCATTAGCATCGCAGTAGACGCATCCGACTCAGCAATCGGAGGAGTCTTACAACAGTGGGTTAACAACTCCTGGCAACATTTGGCGTTTTTCTCTAGACGGTTGCTAGACACTGAATCGAGGTACAAAACACTTGGTAGGGAACTCCTAGTTATGCATTGTTCTGTACAGCATTTTCAACACTATATCTAAGGCCGCGAATTTACCCATTTCACTGACCATAATCCGCTTAACTTTACTTTAAGCTCTTCTTCAGACAAGTACTCACCTCGTGAATCTCGGCAACTGGACTACATTTCGCAGTTTACTTCAGACATCTAACACATTTCTGGAGCAAACAATGTAGTTGCAGACGCCTTGTCTCGAATAACTTCCTTGAACAGTTTCCAAGGGATCGAACTTTTTAAACTCGCCCAGCTTCAAAAAGAAGACACTGATCTTCAACACGAGTTATCTTCTACAACCCTCAAGCCACGCGTCAAACAGGTGGGAACAGGTAAGGAAACCTTATTATGTGACGCATCTAAAGGTAGGGACCACCCAGATGTTCCCAATTATTATCGACGCAACGTTTTCAATACGTTGCACAAACTTTCTCGTCCAGGTGTTTGCGCAACAATCAAGCACAAAGCAGAGCGATTTTGATGACCTGGAATGGATAAAGACATGAGGGAGTGGGCACGCTCCTGTGCAGGCTGCCAAAAATCTAAGGCTATCAGATACAACAAATGTCCCTTAGGCTCATTTAAAACTCCCGACGCTCGTTTCGACCGTGTTCACCTGGTTTTGGTAGGACGTTTACCAGATTCAAATGAATACTCTTATCTTTTACCCACCGTAGACAGTTTCACTCGATGTCCAGAAGCAGTACCGATCAAGGACATCACTGCTGAAACAGTGGCCCACGCCTTCGCCGAACGATGGGTAGAAATCTTCGGCTGTCCTTCAACTATCACTACAGACCGCGGACGTCAGTTCGAATCTGGACTTTTATTATTATTATTATTATTATTATTATTATTATTATTATTATTATTATATTTCATACACATAGTTCCCTTTATCATTTTGAAAAGAGCAAGAACAAAGATTCTAGCAGAATAACATGACTTCATTTTATTTCGTAGGTTCTCGTCAGCTGCTTACAACCTGTGATATTTAAAAATCATAATTACATAATGGGTTTAAATTGCTAACTGAATATTGTAAACATAAACCTAATATGAAAGAATATTCTACAACATTGTTTGTGACAACAGTTCAGAAGTGGTTTAGA